TTCTTTTAATATACACTCATATGCACAGGCTCTCTTTCAAGAACAAAGCATATCAAACCATCAAGATACCAATTGTGAAATTTTGTGGCTCTTGAAAATTTGAGCTATGGATGTGGGTGAGGGTCTTGACGAGGATCTGAATGTAACACTTCACTTCAGTTAAACCGAACTGCGCACACCCATATCCTCGATAAAGTCTGAAACAGGACTCATGAGATATTGACATGAGCGGACTATTTGGTAAAAAATGATTTTGAGTTACTGTTGGAGTGTATAGTCAGACGAGTGACCTCGTACCAGCCCCATAGACCGTGACAGATATTATGATCTGTTGTTCCTTTCACCTATCAGACAACAGAATCATTGTGACAAAAGTCCTCGTGTACGATCGAACGTGCTCTATCCGCTTGCACATTTGAATCTGTAGTAAATTAAGTTGAAAGTCTGTCTGGGCGTGAGTGAGGGTTAGTGTAGATGAAGAGCAGACTCACACCCACCCACATCCAGTCTTTGTCGTGTGACTGAAATTTCAATCTATAAGCTATCTTGTGTATGTGAGATTCGTCCTATCAGTATTTTTCAGGCAAGATTTTCAGCTGATCACATATTTTTTCAAGTACAGAGTGCATAAAAATATTTTTCCATGGAGGTAACGCTATGATTTCAAAAGCATTCATTAACCCTTTGACGGTGAAAGCCGTATATATACGGCTTCCAAATTTAAATAGGTTAGTAATGGGATTACTCAATAGCGCAAGCTATATCATTTAGAGATAACTTGATGAAGCTCACTAGTGACATGCTATAGGCGCTAGGGATGTCTTTCGTAAGGCACCGTCATTGATACATGTGAAAAACATCATTTTATTTAGCATTCGAGAATGTTCTGTTCAAATAGTGTAAATAGTTTATGGCAGTTCGATAAGATCATGTTAAAGCCATTTTCAATAATTGATTACTATTCTAAAAGAGGAACAACTGACAAAGTTGACATGCAAACCAGCTTTTTAGAACGTATAAGAGAATCTGTTAAATGATATAGAAAATTATTTTTTCATATGCCTAATTCATTACTTCTCAATTCATACTTGCTTTACAAGACAGAAACTGGAAAGAGACGTTAATTTGTAGACTTTCGTTTGAAATTTATACGTGAAATTTTACAACGCTATCATGCTCAAAAAACTATAATTGGGCAATCTGTACAAGGCTGTAGACCAACTAGACTCACTGTTACACATTTTTCTTTTCTTGTACCTCAAATAACGGAAAGACAAAATTTTCAGAAAAACTGTGTTGTATGTACAAATACTAATAGAAGACATAAACAGAGAAGAGATTCACGTTACGTGTATAAAGATTGCGGTGTGGGTCTTTGTCTAGTTGATTGCTTCAAGGAATTGCATACCTTAGTAAATTTTTAGTTTGTTTTTTCTTCTGACTTGATTCTTTTTCATTCCAAAATAGACCAGTTGCATCTTTTAAACGAGATCTAAGCGCAACAACTATGACCATTAACAATTTCCAGAATTTCATTAATTTTGGCAACACAATTTCATTGTTTTTTACGAAAAAAATAAGTCCGACGTCAAAGACTTAACGAGATTTATATCAAATTAATGCCCATCGAAAATGGAATTTATCGATGCTATATAGTAAAAGTTATGACAACTTAACAGTGTTAAACTCAGGAAATTCCTAGACTTTTACACCACATTGACATAGAAAAATTACTTTCATGAAAAAGTTTAAAGTAGATGTGATTTAAAAATGATGAATACCACAAAGTACTATTTATCTCTCAAGGTTTGATGAATATAAGCAATTATCAGTATGACAACCATTAGCTTTCTTTGAAGCACAACGATGATACGGATGCGAACATGAAATAGTTTCAAGCAACTCGATGTTTGTGTTCATGGTTGTCAAAACATCTGAAATACATTTGTCAGAGTTTCTTCATAGTAACGATTGTGTTCCATCTCCCATAACATTTTGGTTTCCTTCCATCTTTTATTATCGTTCCAATATTTCCGGATCAGGAGTCGACCACTTTGTGCTATTCATCGTTTTAAATGAGATCTTGTTTGAACTACCTCAAGAAAATAACTTTTTTTATGTCAATGTGCTGTAAAATTCTAGGAATTTTCTGAATTCGACACTATAAAGTTGCCATAACCTTCACTATGTTGTATCGATAAATCTAATTTCGACGCGCTTTAATTTCGTATAAATCTCTTTAATGAATACTATTTGAAATAATAGCGCTACTTCCATGGAAAAATATTTTTACGCACTCTGTACTTGAAAAAATATGTGATCAGCTGAAAATCTTGTCTGAAATATACTGATAAGGCGAATATCAAATAGGCAAGATAGCTTATGAACTGAAATTTCGGTCACACAATAAAGATTGGTTCACCGCTCAATGTCCTCAATATCTGATGAACGGAGGACTCACTGGTGGAAAGCTTATCTGCACGATAACCTGATAGGGAACATCTTTTTTTTAGCCGAAATCCGAGCAGCCGAACACCTGATTGGACGAGAGCAAAACTAGGGGAAAATTTGATTACCTAAAATTCCAACACCAAAAAGTTTGACTGAACAAAAGAGAAACAGTAAGCAAATCTGATTGACTAATAGTACGACTCAAAGTATAACTATCTTACGTCGTTTATCTGCTGTTTAAGAAATATATGGAAACACATGCCTGCATTCTTGACTAGAAACGAACATACTTACACATATACAAACATGCAAAATCACTTTATTTTCTGAATGACCCTTCTTTCTATCAAAGGAGAATCATTATTTTCGTATAAAAAGCTCTTTCTTTGACGAAAAAATGTCACACTCAGAAATTTGAAAAACCGGTTAAAGATTTGGATTCTCCGACCTCGATTACTTTTAGTCAAACTTTATGAAAAATCCCTCTCTCCTTAATATCTGTGCGCGTGACTCAACACGTTCTAGTCAATATACAAGCAAGCAAGCATACAAATTCGTCTTATTTCATATGACCCTCCCTTCAGTCGAGGGAATAAAATGCAATCAGCAAAGAAAAATAACGTTTTATTGAATCACAAATTAAGGCACGAAGAATTATCAGTTTTCTATGACCGTTGACTCTTAAACTTGATGGAACCAAATAACAGAAAGTAATTAATGGCAACTTTTGTTCTGCGATTGATTTGTGTTTTTTATTCATAATTAGGGTGTAGAACAAAACGAGTTGGTCTCTTATAGGACGAGATATCATGATCTGGCTTTCATCGAAAACCTTCTACGATGCTTGAAATATGTAGTAAGATGGCTAATATCGTGTTCTAGACTTTTTCAAGAGGTGAAAATTTGTTCTTAGAGTCATCCTATAATACAAGTAAAGATGAATTCCATTCTCTTTGTGCTATTCATAAATACATTCGTTACACTATTACCTAAAAGAAGAAACGAAATACAATTTTCTGCTCTCTTCCCCTTCATTTACATAGTTGAGTAACAACCTTTCATTTCTCTCTTTCTTTTTGCGAAGGAAAGAAAGTGCCAACTCTAACAACCACTCAGTAGAAGGAGAGTGATATTTTTTCTCTGTGAATATGTAACAGCCTGCTACGACTACGACTTCCTTTCCTCCTATGGCGGCCAAGGTACACATCTTATTATTATTTGCTTAACACAACTACGCTGCTTTTTCATACTCGTTCTATAAAAGTAAATTGTCGTTTGTAAACTTTGTCGTTTACTCACACTTGTAGAAAAAGAATGTTACCAAAAGTGCACCAATCGTCAGTACTTGCTTCTCCTGTCAATGACTATTTTTTCTTTATTTTTGTGAATTAATTAGAACAAATTGTTTGCTCTTTCANATCGGAATACTATTAGTTGTGCAGTGACCAATAGAAATGAAGTTCTAGGAAAAATGACTTTCTTAGAGTAAATCAAGGTGCAGAGTTCAAACTTGAGCTTAGTTCGGTCCCATATCCTATTGGTTTGGCGACGCGGAATATAAATCAACATTTTAAATGGTAGATTTGACAGTATAATTTTGATATTCAGATAGTCTAGGATGATTGATTTGTATGATTCACTTTTTGAAGTACACATAACTCTCGGATTTAAATCCGAAGTTTCCGCATTTTTTTTCTGTATGAGATATTTAAGAAGAACCGCTACATCAACAAATGCATAAATCTACTAAAACATTGATTTACTACTCTCAAACATTTCATATTCAGGACAGTGTTGATTTAGCGCCGCGAGACGCGTCCTCTCAAAATGAAAACACTGTAGAACACGTTTTTATCTCGTGCAAGCATCTTTTACTGCATTCTTACCTTGACTACGATTCTCTCTGTAATTGAACTTTAGAAAGCTGCGAAACGTGTTTGACTAATAAATGCGTTTAATTTCATTTTTATCCATAAAAGTCGCGTTCTGTAGCATCTATTTTATGAAATGATGTGAAACGAATATGTTTCACAGAAGAGTTGCGCATCATTTCCCATATGAATTATGTGCAACTCATTTCTTTCCTGCTGAAGCACTTTTTATGCCGGAAATGCTGCTGGACACTGTAGTAGAATGAATGCGTTTCACATCACGTTAAGAATATATGCTGAAAAACATGTTTTCTTCCGAAAACACCAAGAAACGCATTAGAAAAACTAGCTATGCTTCGTATCTTTCCGAAAATCCAGTTTGTGAGAGGCGCTTTTTTTGAATGAGGTACGTTTGATAGCATTTCGTTTCGAAAACGATGCGAAACACGTTTGAAAAACGACTCTTATCGCGCCCACTTCATATCGCTCGACTAGTACTCAAAAATCGTCGCCTAAGGATGATGCGTTCAATAGGCAAATTTTCTCGCCTTCGCTCGTAAAAAAGGAAAATGAAGATGATTAGAAATGTTGATTAATTCTCCCACAAATATATTCTATATTGCTCATGTAGAAACTCACCCTCGACAAATCGAGCGGATACAGACCAGAACGACGAATATGCAAAACCGACGACGGGCACGGAGTAAACGATCAACCACTGAAGAATCAGCTATTGAAAGTGTCGATCAAAATAGATCGGTTGGTCGACGAGTTAAACCCGTCAAATCAACCGTACTTGTCAATTCCGAACTCAATACTGTAGCTCTCATCAATGATCCATTTCGAAAAAGTGCAACGAATAATGAAACAACCAAACATTTGAAGGCCGACAAGAAGACCGAATTTAAAGAAGAACAACAGCGGGTACGACGCGACCGATTTTCTACTCAATCGAATGGTCAGCCCACACAGAAAAGTTATCGACCACTACAACCTGGTTCACGATCGGTGAGCAAATTCAAGGACACAAATGAACCATCATCGCCCAGTAAGGATTTGATCATCGAAATTCCAGAACGTCTTCTCAAAGGACGGCAAATGTCACCTCGATCACGCGAACACAATTTGAATAAAGTGGTTAAAAATATCCATAACGTTTTTGAAGATGCAAAAAAACGATACAATGGCAAGATATCCACCAAAGTCATAGTTACAGTGGCCGATAATGACGCGCAGACTACTTAAAAATCGCCTAATTTGTGACGATCATTGTCATTATTTATACTCGGCTTCTATACAGACCTATTTTTCATCGAATGCGTCATTTTTTCGTTGATAAAGGAGAAACGTCTATGTGACGGTTCTGAAACGAATCTGATCATAGATATGTTTTTTCAGTGAATATTCGTGTTAAGGTGTGGGTGTGGGGTGTTGGTGGTTGTGGGTGTGAGTGTGGGGTGTGGGTGGTTGTGGGTGTGAGTGTGGGGTGTGGGGTGTGGGGTGTGGATGTGGGTGTAGTTCATTTTATCCCTTGCACCCGCATCGAGACTCACACATCCTCGACATTCGAAACGCATTCATTCACACCCACATCCTTTCTTGGTGTGCAAATAAGAAATGAACACGGAAGCCTAATCACATTTGCTTATTATGAAGAAGCAGATGAACCTCGTGTCGTATGGTTTCAATCCAATCATCCATGTCATATATTTGAAAATATCGTAAGAGCTGCTCTTCTTAGAACACTCCGTTATTCATCAACATTGCAAGAACTCGATCGTGAAGAACGAGCTATGAAATTAACGGTACTCTATAATGGGTATAGTATCAATTGTTGTGCAGAACGCAGATCGACATGTTTGAATTTTATTCTATAGTTACCAAGGATAATATGTCTATCGCCATTTCAAAAAATTATTCAAACAATCATCTGTCATATCTACATCCATCCTACCAATATCAAGTGAACCTACACGAGTATCAGGAATAGCAAGCCAAATGGACTAAAACAATTCAGAGGCAGCGATTGAACCATAAATCAAGGCGAAATTATTGCGAAAAACAGTAACGAGTCAACTCGCGCAATCCTGTGATCATTCGTTGCACACAGGAACGACGTTCTGCAAATTATAAATCAAGGATATATAATAGGTGGTACGAATCATTTCAAGGAAGTCCTCTTATAGTAACAATATTCATCGTTGACACCAAGAATAATCCGAACCTCGCCAAGGAAATTAGTGCGACGAAGCCCTTACCTATCACTACCATAACTAAACCTGTGATAGATCACAGTTCTAAGAACTGGTTCTTTTCTTAAGAGCTAGGTTCAGTGACCAGTTCATTTTTTAAGAAGTGGATCCACTGGCCAGTTCTTTTTTGGAGAGCTGGGTTTAGTGACTGTTTTTTTTCAACGACACTTGTTCTATCAATAATGGTGATCTAGCGAAGTTACTCAGTACTTGTTCCAGTTGTCAAAAAAGAACTGATTGTCACAATCAGTTCTGTTAAAAAGACCTGCTCACCATACCCAGTTCCTTTTAAAAGAACTGGGTGACTGACATCAGTTCAGTTCTTAGATTGAGAACTGTCACAAGTCTAATCATAACAAGATCATGTGCACTGAAACAGACCGAATCATGAATAACACTCAGTAAAAACAACATTAACAATATAACACGACACCAAAAAATATAATTGAACTTTTCCTTTTCTTTCTGACTGACTTGTGTGAAACTACTATTCTCAAATAAAAACAGTGAACTGATTAAATGAATAACAAGGTGAAACATGAATTAAACTACTCTCATTTATTATTGACATGCTCAACAGTTGGAATACACGCCTCAAAAAAACAACATTCAGCTCTAACGATCTTCCTTACTATCTTTCAGATATTCTGTATAGAGTATTATACTTTGTTTATGATTTTCTTTGAAAAAAATCGAGATTATTCGAACAAGTATAGCAGAGTCAAAGCCATCTGTTGATGACCCTTAAGCAAGGTTCAAATCAAGATCATGGTATGATTGGCACTCATACTCACACCCATACCTTAACATCCTCACACACGCCCAAACATTCGAGCTTAAAACAGGAGCATTTTTTTTGTTCAATATTGCGAACTAGGTCATCGTGGTAGTCTAAAATTGAGGCAATGACCAGCAATTAGAATTTGCCAATGCTCCCATTATGGAACCAGATTTAGCAAGAGCTTGTGCTCGGCTGCCAGCGTTTAAACGGCCTTCAATGCTAACGATAGAAGTCGGAAAAAGCCAATTTCGTGTGGCATGGACTATACCCAGTGCAACTCTTTTTGCTCTCGCCTGTCTTGATTGATCGTACAAAAAGGATGATTTTTGAATGGACCGATTAACTTCGACCTGCATGGCGCTAATTACGCTCCACATATCAAGAAAACTAGGAATATGTGGCCGAACACAGCGCACCATCTCAAACACTGTCTCCATCGATGGTGTGTCCAATAAACGGCGACTAGCCGTTACTATTTCGTCAGTTTGATTTGGATCGTTTAAATTCAATTGAAAGGTGCTTGAAAGCAGATCTACGTAGCACTTGATTGTCCAATCCTGACAGTGCTTGTTAAATATTTCGAAAGTTCGGCTCGGGTAATCACGAAGTAACTTATTGACAAGCTGTTCACCCTGATTGGTGGGACACATTTTGATAATCCACGAACGGCGTGTTGGAACTGGATCAAACTCGACAGATTCAATCATGAAGATACAGCTCAAATCAAAGAGTACTTCTTGTTCGTCTGGATTTTTTGATAAATGAGACACATCAGCAAAAACGAGTTTGGAATTCTTTCGTCTTCGAGACAATGAACTATTGTCAAACGAAATATAATAGAGCACTGAGACAGTCTCAGTCACCTCTTGAAAATCGCCCGAACCAGCAAACACTTCAGCTATTTTTATATTACGAGTAGTCGAGAGAAACGAATTTTCCGCAATCAACATTCCAGGCTCGTAGCCTTTTAATTGTTGGTATGACATTGTAACGCCACGATATAAATTGACATTTCCATCAAGTGTAGACTGATGTCGGTGAAGAGTGGCTAGATTACGACGTAAGTCGCTGATATAGAAACGAAACATGTACAAAGTTGCAATGTCATTCGTTCGAAGTGCTTTGTTCACAAGACTGTAAACAAATGTTCCTTTTGTATACCAAATGGTAGCCTCATCCGGTTTGTAATTCTCGGCAAACTCATTAATCGTTTGAAGTACTCTCATATTATTACGATAATACATACGGCATTTGGTAAGCATTTGTTTTCTTGCATCTTTTCGTTTTGTCGGTTTTTGAGTGAAAACTGTTTTGAATAGTTCTAGAGATGCGAAATCAGCTGCTGCGTCCACTGTATCAGATGACAATTTTAAATAATGTACTGGATATTGATTTGTATCGAATAGAGCATGGTATCTATTTTGATTGTGTAACTGACGTGATTCCAGGCGAAGTTTGTAAAGAAGGTTTATTGGATGATCAAAAATGCCAAGTACTTTGGGAGGCAACATATTCAGAAGAGACTCGTGTCCATTTTGATCTAACGTAAAAACAAAAATGGAATCGACTTGTTTCATTCCATTCAAGGATTTGAGCAATTCACCATTAGCAGCCAGTGAACCTGAAAGAAATTCATGTCAGTACTCTTAGCACTTATTATTATTTTCAGCCAGTATCAGATTGAAAATGTACTGATCATATTTTTTTCACTCAGTTATTAGTAGATGGTCAGCTATTGACGATAGGAAGAAAAATGTATTGTTGCTTATACGTTGCAAAAACTACCAAACATTTCTGAAATAAATTAGCTCTCATGTTTTTCGTTGCCCATATTTCGTTTTTCTCTTCTTTGTCATAAGTACAGCATTCCATCCCACTACACTTTATGTCTTAAGCTTTATTGGAAACACATTTCTTTCATTTACATTCCGTCGTGTCTATAAAATATCAGGTTTGGATTCGCATTCGTTTTCCATAAAGGGCATTCAATTCATGAAGGGTATACTTATTTTGGAAGCGAAATGATAACATTATTACGTTCACAAACTCAGTGAATTCAATTTAGAGCTACGACAAACCGACAGATAGTCTTCAATACAGCAAAGATTCCAGAAGTTAACGGTCGATAACTGTTGCACATCGAGCTTGATATAGATTATTTTTCTACAAATTCGGTCCTTGGTTAATAGAGAATATGTTGATGTAAACATGAGATTATAACTGTTCACGCTAAAGCTATGTCTCGACCTATTCAAATAGATGTTAAATAGCTAGAAACATTGTCCCATCAAGTAACTGTTAATGAATCACAATAAAACTAATGAATAGCTTTGTTTATTGTGATTATATATCTTAGTTACATTTTTCAGGAGTCCACGTGACCAGAAAGTTCTTCTTGAAATCTGTGTAAACTGAAATAGAAGGCTTCAAGAGATACGACGAAATATCAAGATACATGGTGTATTCAAGAGAAAATATGAAGGATCGAACCGCATGGTCACAAAAAAAAGTCAGTCTTTAAGATTCAAAGGTCGTCTAATTTGTCTTACGCTTCGCTCGCTCAAATGGATCTTCTACTATAGAAAATCTTTGAATATGTCTACTTCTTTAGTACATCCTCATTGAAGCTAATCGTTGTACCTGAGAGAATGAAAAACAGTTTGATTCTATCTGATGGTATTGATAGAATGAATTTGCGACACATTTCTTCGTTTGTATAGTAGAAACAAGAGTTAAAATGTGTCTCGAGCGTTATGTGTGTTTCTATTGTGTCCTGTGAGCCATCAAGTCGTTTGTCGAGCCAAATAACAACGGCTTCATCATTGTCGTCTGTCTGTGATTGAGCTTCGTCATATGTGTCCATGATATTTACCTTGAATCTATGCTGTTGATTAATCGGCGTTGCCATTGATGTCGTAAGCTCCATGCTAATATCAATTGTGTGTCATTTAAAAAAATGTGTTACGAATATACTTTTACTATTCGAAGTGAATCATTATTTACATCGATGATGCGACAAAATGACGAAAGGTAATCATTTATTTTTTTCCAACCTTTATGCATCCTTGGTTTTTTCCCCATTTATATACGCAATTGATTCGTACACCAAAAATATCAAAAGTAAGGTATGAAGTAATACATGAAGATACCCGTTTCATTTGTGACTTTTGTCATGCATTTCTGTCTTATCAGTTTGCCTTGTATTAAAGTAATTACTTTCATAAAAGCTTAAGATTGACGAACTTTTATTTGATTCGAAATACTTCTTGAAGAAACTTTCAGTTTATTTCAGGATTTTAAGTATTCGCCAGATGGCTACGTTGGCAGTTCACGAATCAATATCATCAGCAGCGGTATTTCCCAATAATCAATCCGTTGTTGTTACTGCAAATGTGTCAGACAACGAAGTTTTGCCACAGTCCTACAAAATTCAACTTCCTATTTGTCCATTTTGTATTACAGCTCCGTGTGATATACTGAATCATCTTATGACTCTCGGATTCTGTATGATAATTCCGATAGTTGAACTTGTCTTTGGAAGTATGTACATAAACGATTGCCCAATTAATCATCTCATACCCATCTACTTGATTGTTAGTGGGTCCATTGGTTGTTTTTGGATCGTATTAGCTAGTATATTGGTAAGTGAAGTCGAGTCCAATATACATATTCCTCTGGAAAACAATAGTTGTAGTCAGTATTTTAAATATATCGTCAGTATAAAAATATGTTTTTAAAAGCAGAATACCATATTTTGAAAGCGCTCGAAGTTTTCTATCATTATTTATTTTTTATATTTTAGTTTGCACTTATGTACTAGAAATAAATTAAGTGCAATGAACACACCCTGATCGTCAGGTTCTCACGAACCAGATTTTGTAACCATCATCACAATAAGTTTTATTAATTCTTTTATCAGTATCGAAATATCTTCTTAAAAAAAGTAATTGTATATTCTGATAGCGCTTGAATTTCTTTATCTTTCTACATATTAATATGTTCTCTTGCATTTATCTATTCTAACAAATAATTTGAGTACAATGAAGACATCCTCAATTGACAAGTACGAAAATTCGCTGCTTTTATATTTTTCCAAATAACAGTTACTATGAAAATAAGTTTTTTCTAAAAGTAATTATACATTCTGATAAAGCTCAAAATTCTCTATCGTCCATCAATATTTTTGTTTTATCTTGCATTTATTTGCGGAAAAATAATTCGAGTATATGTACAGGGTGACTCAAAAGTCACGCATCCGAAAAAATATTTGAATATCTTCATTACGGCTCGATCAAACGAGCTGATTCTTTTATCGATGATAGAGGCATGTTCAAGCTTTATATCCATAAAGACATGCCTAGAGAGACTCTTTGTTAAGTATCACTATTGACCCCAACAAAAAAATTTGATTCTTTCCCAAATAGGAAAAACCACTGAACATATATCATTTTACTGAAAAAATTGAGTATTATCGTCATCTTTTAATCAAATAGGCTGGTTTTTACCATGATAAAGACGTGTTCAAAGTTCCTATGTATAAGAGAAATATTGTAAAATGCTGTTGGAAGGTAGCACTATAAATTGCAATAGAAAAAGATTCATCTTTTTACGGGTCTGAAAATTGATACAATGTGAAACAAAACTCACTTTTACTGTGATAAATTCTGGTATGCTAGCATCTCTAACTCGAACATTAATAAATGATTACGACTTACTTTTGATATCAACAAAATAAGTGCGTATGAAATTATGATTATCACGGTAAAAATGAGTTTTGCTCACGTTGTGTCAATTTTCAGACCCGTAAAAAGATGAATCTTTTTCTATTGCAATTTATAGTGCTACTTCTCAACAGCATTTAGCAATATTTCTCTTATAAATGGAAACTTTGAACACGTCTTTATCATGGTAAAAACCAGCCTATCTGATTAAAAGATGACGATAATACTCAATTTTTTCAGTAAAATGATATATGTTCAGTGGTTTTTCCTATTTGGGANAATTCATTATTTTTTTCGTTTTTTTATCTTGATTATAAACAGAATGATGCTTCGCGTATAGTAGATAATCTATAGTGTAAGATGCATTTTGTTTCAAAGAAGCTAGTTAAAAGGTTTGAATTTCAATCCATTTTCAAAAGTTATCCCGTCGGTTTATAAAAATGGTACTTTCCAAGGTTTGGAAAAAATAGAAAATGCTTTAATTGGACAGTTGCAGTTAGTTGATAATTTCGACAATCATAGCTATGTGAATGTCGATAGGCTTTGCAGATTTTAACTGTTTAGTTTGTATAAATTAGAAAACAAATCATAACATCTGCTTGTTTTCTTTTTTTCTATTTTTTCGAAAGAAGTTTCCTATGAAAAAAAATGAATACAATAGGAGAGTTTTGTAGGCAACAAAACACAATGAACGACACTATTATGAAGAAAAACTCTTGCATACATTGATAATGAAAGCTCAGATATTCTCGACTATTATCTGACGGAGATGATTGTTACAGCATTATCATATTTCCTCTCTCTCTTATAAATCCTTGTGTGGTTAACATTCCAATCAGTTATTTTCTATAAAGACTTTCAATGGCAATGATTTCGTTAAAAAAGATTATTTTGATTGTGTTTTAATAATCGGTTTTTTTTCTCTTGTTAGGCGCAACAATGAAATCAGCTATAAATACATGTAAGCATTTGAACGTCAAATCGATAATTGTTGCTGTTCCATGTGGTCCTGACGATATTGTCGAGGAGATTCGTCCATTCGTTAATAAAATAATATGTTTGACAACACCCCATAGTTATCGTGCTGTTGGACAATGCTACTACTCATTCCCACAAACAACGGATGAAGAAGTTATTCAAATCATGAAAAAATATCAAGATTTAACTATATTTTATTAAGAAGAGAAACATTTATGGACAATTGTGTAATAAATTAAATGAATACATTTATTTCAGCTAAAATTAAACAACTATTCATTCTTCATAATCACAGTGATATTTCACAGCTTTTATTTTTTATTTTTGTTTTTTTATCTTTTTTGTATCTCAGCATCGTCTTCAAACTTTACTAGATGTCATTGATTTCCATATTTATTCAAAAAAAGACAAGTGGCCTAAAATCAATAATCATATAACAATAAGTCTAATTTCTAGTATATTTACTTTTATTATGCTGCATACATAGTCCTATTGAAAAAAGATTTAATTTTTTGTTTTCTAATATTTGAATATTTATGATTTGATGAAACTGAAAGGTATTTGGCAATTGAATTCGTATGAAAATGTAGGATGATTTCACTGCCTACAAAAAACCTCAACAGATAAGTTTTTCAGGTATTCGAAATAGTATGATTCGACATAGAGGTGATCCAAATATACCATTAGATAAAGCTCATCAACTTATACTTGGAAAATGAATAGGAAATTTTGAACATGCTCCGCAGTGAGTCCCTCACGGATATACAGCTTTATTCGACTGAACCTCATAGTAAAAGATAACTATTTTGAATTTTTTTTTTGAGTACAATGGACATTATAAGGAATCTGATTATACCATTGAATAGAGCACATCAAGATCTGCTTGGAACATTGGTGAAAGATTTGCAACATCTTCATAAGCGAATCCAATACGGAAACACTCAAACTGAGACATAACTTTACCTACGTTTTTCAAAACTTTTTCAAATCTCATAAAACCCTTCAAATTCCTCTAAAATCCGCTCAAATCTGTTCGAACGTTTATACATCAAGAGAAGTCTGACGAAAATGTTAACGCTGACTCAAGTTCACTGAGATCTTTTTGAGAGCCACGTGGAGTCTCATGAAATTTCACAAAGTTTTTTAAAAACTTTTCAAAATCTCATAAAACCCCTCAAATACTTTTAAAGTTCCCTCAAATTTGTTGAAATGCCTTTAAATGTGTCGAAATCTTTCAAAATCTCTCTGTATCTCTTCACATATGGTTTGAAACTCTCTGAAATCATTCGGACTCTCCTCAAGAACTTTTGAGTTTTCAAAAATTGACTGTTTGGCTCCGTGTTTTGAATATGATAGCATTTCAATTCTTAATCGTTTTCTTAGACGACAATGTATCTGAGTTACTCTGGGAATTATTGTCGAGAATTAACAAAATGATCACTTTATGATATTTGAACTACACACATGCCGAGCGTCTTAATAATCTTCGTCACCGTCATCTTTTTTATTCAATTTAATAAAAGTCAACATCATCCTTAATAAATTTTCTAAAATTCTTTCATCAGCTCTTTCATCATTGTCAATACCCTAGACTCCAGTAAAATCGTTGCAAATATAATAGATCCATATAAAGATCTATGTCAGCCCCTATATCGATCTTTTCTATCAGCTTATGTGAAAAATAGCAACTGTTGTTATTGATTCCAGTTGTATTTCACGTCTTCATCATTACACTATTTAATAATTATTTATCGTTACGGTTCTCGTCAACTAATTTATTGTCTCATCTTTCTTCCTATCTATTTAAATTATATCAGCTCGTAAAACTCAAAACAATACTATTCAATAAACGTATTTTATTAAACTGGTATGTAAAAGATTTCGTTTTACTCATCGTTTTTCCAGATTTGTCGGAGATATTTAGCCATGGTCAATCTTGATTTTAGCAAGGTTAATATTATGATCCGTTCAATATTTTAAAATAAATTACAAAGTTTGTGATTTCTTAGACATCCTAAGATTTACAGGCTATACATATCTTTCATTCTTCGTAATCGCTGGAATCAAGAAATATATGAAATCATGTTGGTATGTTTGGTTCATTGTGTCGATGTGGGTATGATAACTGTAGCAATATAGTTATCATACCCACATCGACACATGAATATCAATCAACGTGCATGTCATATATATCAGTCGATTGTAGTCAGGAGCTGTCATCAGTGCTTTAGGACCACTCCAGTCATTTAGATGATACTGTCATCTAAGTGCCAGCGATTACATCTCTTCTGCTCCTTTTTTTCCCTAGGATCTCTGGAATTGATCGAGATTGATTAATCATCTTTGTACTAAAACATAGCATAGGATAGTTGTGAGTAAGGTCACAGTGGCTGTCAGTTGTGGCTATCCCACCAGCAAAACAGGATCAAGATTTTTCAGCTCTTTTCTTTTCAAATACGATCTGAAATAACTGTCCAAGTGAATACTGGTAAAAACTTGCAAACACCACAAATTGTGACTGGTGTTAGCTAAAGATAATAAAAGGCTCTGTATGATGCCACACAGAGACCATTACAGACTTTGTCAGACGGGCTACAGAAACTATCACAGACAGTGACAGACGCCAGCTCATGACCATCAAAGACTCTGAAAGACAGGTCACAGTGACGATCATTGAGAATGACACACGTCAGCAGAACACCGTGACTGATGGTCCCAATGACATCGAACATTCTGACAGACGCATTAGAGAGATTAGAACAGACTGTGAGAGTAATTAGCTAGAGTCCATTGCAAACTGTGATCGATCGATACTAGAGACTATCGCAGACGGTGACAGACACCAGATAGAGAACAAATCAGTCAAGGAACAACCGGCAGCGCGATCCGTTACAGAACGTGTAAGATACCAGTTAGAGACTGTTACAAACTATGACAGACGAGTTAGACAGGAAATACTGCAAACGTTGACACACGCCAGCTAGAGACCATCAGGGATCGTTCATCATTAATCGTGACAGACGCCAACCAGAGGCCAACTTACTCTATGAACAACCAGCTACAGACACCATCGTAGAAGGCATCAGACGGTGGCTAAAGACTGTTATAGACTGTCGATGACGACCCGCAGTGACATCAAAAACCATGACAGAAGGGCTTAGAGACTGTGACAGACGTTAGCTGGAGACCATTTCATTCGATGTGCGGTAATGTGATATCCCACTTAGTATGGCAAGACAATGCTCATGATTTCAAAGAAAATATTGTATTGATATCTTCGGTAATGTACACTTCATATTGATTAAATTACATCGATTTGCTATTTTCGGACGGCGATTTAGGTAGTTGTCTAGTATGATTCGAAAGTGGAAAAGTTTCGGAGAAAAAAGAGTGTTTTCAAAAACAGATTTTGTATCAAGTTTTCTTAAATTTCCAGGAAAAAAACGTTATCTTCATGTACTCAAATTATTACAACACTTTTCATATTGTCTTTGTTTTACGTGAGAATAACTCATGACTTCATGAATAAAGGGTTTTCACTAATACTGAGAATAGAAAGTCATGAATTTCAATAAATTCTCGTAGGTTTTTCGTGAGACATGAATATCACTGATACCAAGATTGTTAGAATGGAATTATTTATTTGAATGGTGCACATGGAACGACTAAAGAAAAATTGATTAGAACGGAGACAGTAAAATATAATGAATTTCATTTAATTTCAGATATCCACCTCCCGTTTTTTTTCGTTTTTCGTTTTTAAATAATCGAAAACTATTTCCAATGTCATCAAATACAAGAACTTCAACAATAATTATCGAGGATAATGATTCAATAATGGAAATAAACTCTGAACGTGAGTATTCATACAGAGTAACACATTGCTTGTTTCACATCCGTTCGATATCTACCTTATTTATTTTAGGTTTGTTAACATCAAATATCATCAACTACTTCACTGCTACTGCTAATGATACCATGACTGATTTACTACTGTTACTGGTGCAACTGTGGTACAGTTTCACGGGAAATCATGGTCTTGCCCATACCCACTCATTAATCGAATAGGTCCCGTACTTCCTCGTGATCGTTCATACTACAATTATCAAAACCAAGGTCAGCTCTATAACATGAGATTTTTGTTTGCGAACAGCTCTCTCTCTCCCTTTTCTATCTTTTATTTTATGTCAGATCGTAAAGAAATCTTGAGATAACACAAATTTAAGTTGTCCAGCATTGAATATCAAAGAGTATTAGACACGCAGAAGTACACGAATGCTAGACTCAATGTGAGTACGTTTGCCATTTCATGTTGGTCCAACCTATCGAGTAAGTTGCAACTATGGAGTTCCCAAAAGCTATTCAATTTCTTCGATTGTATGTATTCCATATGTATGATTCTTACAAATTTATATAAAACAAGTGTTGTTGGACGGCATCAAAAAAAGCCGCTTATAAAAATTTGAAATCAAGTGTATTTGTGTTGACAATGAGCATGTTAAAAGGCATTACAGTACTAAGCCTTCACGTACAAATAATTTTAAATAATAGCATAAATACCACGAACTTTTCATGAGCTTTTTAGGTAGATTTTTTGTTTTCTTCTTTTGCAATCTATCCCGTAGTATTAAACTTTCATGTGTTTAATTTATGATAAAATAGATTGTGACTGCAAATACAAAATTGTTACCCAAGCTGATTGTGCTTGGAATGAATACATAAAAAAAGGTAGAAAAACTATTTTCGGCAATGATTATGGTATGAAAAGAAAACTATCTATGAAATATAATCAAATATCATTTCGGTTATTCGATAGAGGTTAATTGTATGGACTTCAATTTTTCGGAAGTACAGCGAAACTATTAGATGCAATACAATGGGAAAAATCTACTGGTAAGAATTCATAAAGGATATCTAAAAATGGCTTACTTTTTTTATTCAACAAGTTAAGCAACAAGTAATAACAGATGAACTCGCTACAAGTGTTCCAACATTCGAAAACCGATATCAACGATGGCTTGAATTACATGCTGCTAAAAGTGCCAAGAAAATCTTGACCAAGTCTTCTGCGGTAAATTGAATTATTTCAATTCTAGGTTATTCGAACTCTATTTAAGAAAAAAAGAACAGATTTTATAGGCTTTTTCTTTTTTTTCAAGGAAAATATGTAAACCAGCCGTGAATTTCGTCTACCATCCAGCATGACATAAAAAAGCACGAGTTGAAATGTGTAACCAAAGTTTTTTGTGGCCTGATTCTTTTCCACACTGCACGTCAAAACTAAGTAGGTCTCTTCATAATTGAGAAAATTCACTACGATTACATCACCTTTTTCTTGTCATTGAAATCTTGTTGCTTAATTGTATTCACATACAACAGGAACGTTTGTGGATGATTGGATTAAAAATAATTTCAAAAAAAAACAGGGCGACCAAAAGCTCTTCGTCTAATTGGTCACTCAAAAACAGGTAAGAAAACAAAAGAATACCAATACAAATCATTTCAAATTAGCATAATTCTTTTTGTGCTTTTATCTGAAATTTTAAAAAAATAAGGAAAGACAACATATCCAAAGTCGTTGTATGGCGTTGCAAATCATTGTCAAGGTTCTTTCGATCCGATTACTTGGAATAAGGATGCTGACGACATAACTCTTGACAATATCCCTTTGGATGATTTTGAATCAGCAAAACGACATTTTCTTATTGGTCAAGATGAGCTTAATGTAAGTGTTTTGATCTTCTTACATTATATTCATGTACGGATTTCTCTCTGTTTTCTCATGCTGATTAGATTTCGTTAAGTCCCACGAAAACAATCAAAATCAAAGTGGAAATGCCTGCTGTAATACTTCTAAATCTAGGTCAAGAAGATTCTTTATCTGCACCATCTGTCGGTCCAAAAGAGACGAAAGAAAGCGAATATTGGGATGGACGTATATGCAAATATGAAATGGGTAAAATCGTTAGAAAGTAGATTTAAGTTTATAGTACACTCAGTGGTCTATCTCTTTCTTAGGTCCTGACGAGTATTTTTATAAGCCTGAGTATGATGATGTTTTGACTGACAACTCTACTGAAGGCTCAGAACATTTGGTACACAGAGAATTTCAAATGTCTTTGGCGTGCTGCAAAGAAACGTAACACTAAAAAGAAATCCATGGTACGTTCGTCAACAACTTTCACATGATCACCAGCATCATCATCAATGACAGTGTTTATTTCAACAGAAGAACCCATAATAGATGAAATCTATACCATGCTACCGGTTTTTAGTGCGATATCTACACTCTTAGAATCGATCGTATCAGAGGCGGTAGATATCGAAATATCTATCATGACATCATATGCGATAGACGACGAAATGCAAACCAATGATTCAATGACAGATGTCAAAGAAGTAATTGATAACATAATGGAAAAAATTACTACCAGACAAGCCATTATAGAAACAACTCATGCTATAACAGACGTAATATGTATGATGACAGATGAGCAATAAACCAGTGCTAACAACAGAAGCGAACAATAAAAGACTCTTTCATAGATTAGATACTCTAGTATTAGGAATTTATAAATAATCTATTAATTTAGATCGTAGTATGCTTCACTTTATATATCTTAATCTATCAGCTGTTTTCCATTGCATGATGAATTCAAAATATTTTTTTCTTTAATAAAATGTTGATAAAGTCAAACTTACTCTAACAGTAAAGATACATTTGGCGCATCGTATCAGTATTGCAATCGATCGGATTTTTCTTTGCAGATGGGTATCATTATCAGTCGCAACATTGCATGGTAGATACACATAATTGTCATGACATACGATTTTCAAAGGCGAATCAATTGATATATTTCAATCTTGCATATTTAGATATTCTTACTGGAAAAATTAGCACTAATGAATGGGTGTGAGTGGATGTGGGTATGAATGAAGAGAAGACCAACACCCACACCCTAAACATTGGCAATATGCTGTTTGTTCATCGACAGTCTCAAAATAAAGAGTACCGTTGAAGATAAATAATTCAGTCAACCATTCTATTGGTATTACAAATGGAGAAGCTCCACGAGCGAATATTGACGGGTGGACTGTCAGTGTTGGTGTATTCACTAAAATTGATTGATCCCGCTTAGCACACGGTAGCGATAAGTGTAGCATAGTAGTAAATGACTTCTCTAATCGTTGGTTGGAAAAAAGAAACTTTAATTCACTGATTAGTCAATTAAAGCTTCATAGGCGCTCACAAAAGTTATATGTTGATTTCGATTTGACCACAATTCATCGTAGTGGACGCAAAAATGGATCTAATGATTCTCCTTGTGCTTTAATCATCCGCTGGAATTCAGTTGAAATTCAAAGATTTTATTGCCAACTATCGGGTTGGCAGTCTTGGAAGAAGATATTACCAGAAAAAGCCTGAAGTAGGCGGCAAAATACTTCAGTCAATGATGCTAAGTTTAACATGGGTACATGTTTCTTGCATAAGTTTTTTATCTCCTTGTGTAGTTTGGGTTCATGCGGACTGACAGATAGAGAACGTTGCTGTTGTCATTCTTCTTCCAATTCTTGTTCTACCTGTCATTGCAACTCCCATTGCTGCTCTTCATCGAATAACTATGCTAGAAATTTTTTCGTTTCATCATATTTCTTTACTCGTATTAATACAACTTCATGAATTTCAGTTTTTAAACACAAACCAAGTTGCTTGAATTTAGCTAAATAGATTTCTTCTAGTGTTCGCAATATTTTTGACGGACTATTCATTTGTTTTTATGATATGAGTTCAGATTTTAAACAATTTCTGGCTAATTCTTCCGTTAAAATATCTATAAACCATTGTCCATCATTTGTCTATTGAATATGCTGAAAGACACTAACTTTTCGTTGATAACTCAGACTTTGTGTTGACCAATGATGTAATCCATCCCGAGTTGTCTGTTGTGTATTTTCATATACCCAACGAAGAATATCAATCAAATGTATTTTTTTGTTTTGACTTTGCTGTAGTACATTCTTTTTCAATAATCGAATTTGTTGATCAACTTCATGTGAACTCCAGAAAGTTAACCAATGATATTTTCCTAATTTTCTCATTCTGATGCAAACCTGAACGAATCGATCTTTGGTTATACAATTGCCCAAAGTGACAGCCGCACAAAATTCGTTGGGAAACTTGAAATCTGTTCCTGTCGTATGAACTTCATCCAAATAGATCACATAATGATCAATTCGCTCACTAGCTGGAGAAGTCACAAAAGCATGATGTTGATATTGACAATCACAAACAACTATCGAATCCGATTCAATATATATGGAATAATCAATTTTGGTTTTATCCGATAAATTCAACCATTTGATGGCCATGCCGCGATTACTACCATCGATAAACAATGCACCGACATCTAAAATGCCGTTAATCATCGATTTACTATTAACAATATATTCCAAAATCTTATCAAAACTTGCACTAATGGTAACGATTCATAATGTTTTTTTTTCGGTTGAAGTAAATTATTCAGAACAATGGCATCCTTCTTCTGAAGTTCTGGCAAATCACATTGCTGATTGTGAATGGGTAGTAATAATTTTGTCTCATTGAAACCGATTATTAGTTTTGCACGTAAAGATGAAGACAAATCACATGCGGATGATACCAATTTATGAGGAAACTGTTTTGCTTCGTGAGGAAAGACAAAATGATTAAGAAAATAATTGATGACTAACATATTGTGGCATAGAGTACGAAGGAGATGACAAGTTTTTTGTTGATAATCTTTCAAATTAACTCCTTTCTAATATTGAATACTTGAATCGATATCCTTTTCATGTTCTTTCAAAATCCATTTTTCATAGATCAATGCTCGATCTTTTTCTTCCTGGCTCAAACGATTCAAACATTGCCACATTTGTGATTCATTTAAACCACGATAGTAATAGGATAATTGTGTTAAAACAATTGCTAAATCCGGATGACCGAATTCCGTATTTTCAAAGCAAAGCATAGTACTTCAACTGATAAAAGACCTCGTAAAATAAGAAATAGTTGAATCGTATTGTGTGAAAACTGATACTCTAGATTATCAATCGATATGTTTGCTTGCAAAATGAATGATAAGATGAGATAGCAAATGAAATTCTGGAAAACAAGTCTGTTTTTCAGATGATCTATAACAAACATCATTTTCATAGGTCTGAGTGATGTTTGTAGCATGTCGTTTAACTGAGCTCAATATCGATTGAATAGTTTTACAACGTTCTATACCTCTGTCGACCTGCTGTTCATCACCGACAGTATAAATTAATTGACATTTGACATGAAGAATTTCATCGGATTCATCTAGAACATCACGAGCAAATGTTTCAACTATCGTTATGTTGTCAACAGCGAACGATCTACTTGAAATTCCTTTCGTCGACAATTATCTATGGCAAGTAAATCAAAAGAAAGAATATATTCTGGTGCTGTGATGATAATATCTCGTTTCACTAAATATAGTTGGAGTCGTCCAATAATTACATTGATTTGTGTGAAATCGAAATTCATATATCGATGACAAACGAACGGAAAGACTCTCTTATTCAGTAGGTTACCTAACTTGAATTGTAATGATTGATAATTGATGGTCATTAAGGATTGCAATACCACCATACGAACTAAATTTGATGAAGACGAACATAAACTGAGCGCAAACATTGATATGATGACGGAAGTTTTATCTTCGTCCATATTCATTTGCATGACAATATTTTTCGCAGTTATGTCGTTTGTCGACATTTGTGGTTGCGTCATATGACAAACAACGTTTATTTGTATTTACGAATCGTAATGTTCGTTTCTAATTCTAAGATTAACCATGGTAAATGTTCGACTGGTACTCAACTTGAATGGGGTGTGTTCAATAATTCCTTTTTGCAGTCTTCCCATCTTTGATGCTGAGCAAAATGTAAAATTCTCTCGATGTGTTATTCAATGATCCAGTTAACCAGAGTAACATGTTAGAGTGCACATGGTTCTTTTGTGAAAAAAATCCGTAAGGCCATGCTGATTCATCGATTGATTCTTTCTGTGTGTTGCTCATTCAACCATTCTTGATGAATAAAAGATATGAGAATAGCTGGAGTAGCTCCCAATACTAGGCCAGTTTGGAATAGAAGTTCGTTGAATAAGATAATCGATTGCGTAGCTGCTCAAAAGAGATACTTTTTCGAATAATATGCAACTACTTAATGATTAAGTAGCTAATAATTCATGCAACTATGTACTTAAAGTCTATCGCTATTTAAAAGGTGTAATAATTATTTTGCGAAAATTATCCGTCTAGTGAATGATTTAAATAGCTGATTTATTTCTAACAAGACTTTTTATTGCGCTTCTTCGTGTAACTAGCTATTGAACATGGATCATTATTTAAACATTACAGTAATTATTTAAACATTTTGCATAGATAATTACTAAATGATTGAAATGATTGCTGCTCTTTGTAGCGGCATTTGGTTTATTGATCTGTAATATTTTATGAGCGGTTGAAGTGTAACATTATTAAATATTATCGTAGTCGTTTGTAAGATCCGAGAATCATTAAAGAAAACGAAAGATACATATTTTAAATACTTTAAATTGTCAAACTTAAAACTTTCAAGCATTGACTTTTCTTTTTTTTTCGTCATCGCTCAATAGAAGTAGACGAGTTATATCAGAAAAAAGAATATCTTGCATATTTAAAAACAGCATTATAATAGGCAGAAGTTGGTGCCCATTATTTTTACCTTTTTGGAATAGTTTTAACGTCGATGTTTTCAGAAAATTCTTTTTTGAATATGTATGGCATTATCTGGTGCTCAAATAACTCAGCGAGCTCTATTCAACCATGACACAAAAAGAAAAAGAAAACAGTGCCTAAAATTTTAAAGTGTGATCAAATGACATAAACTACTAATCTATTAAAATTCTGATTTTCTTAATCGATACACCGTATTGGCAGTCGATAATTTGAACTGTTTAGTGTGACCACGAGAGCATTCATTTTATCTCATATGAAATTAATCTACTTAGCATACAGTATATATAATTCGGCTGTGAGTGATGTTTAGAAAAACGCTTATTGAGAAAGGATCGCTGAAGATTAAACAGTTACTCATCCAACAATTTTTTCTTTTTTTTCTGCCCTTGCTCGAAACAAATCAGTAAGAGTAAATGAGTAGCTAAGTGTTTATTAAAGAGGTGAGTACCATTCTTAAATACTGATCGAAATCTCTAAATACTCGATCAGACTAATTGAGAGTAACGTGGAATATATTGCAAATATCTTTATCATTACAAGTCAGAAAATGCAAGATGCATAAGTTGCACTTATTTCTATCCTCAATACTGACGTTGCCGCTCCGAAATCATGCTTAGATTAGCTAGCTCGACACTTAGAAATATAGAAAATACTTAAATTGCTATGTGTTGCTATTAAGTAGCTATGAATATCTATTAAGTAGTGCTGAAAATGTGTAGTTAGTTGTTAAAAGTAAGAAGCTATACAATTAAGGATAAAGAGAATTATAAATAATTCAATGTGTATCATTATGAACTATATCTATGGAATTCACCCTTAAGCATGTGTATTAGCTCTCTCTCTATCAATGTTCTCTATACAAAATTGTATCTCTTTTGAGAATGAGCCCTAAAAAGCATCACAATATCGATAAGAAGATGAAGTGACACTGCATCAACAAGTGACAACAACTATTTATTGTACAGAGTAATCATCAACAATGCTAATACACACTGTGAAATGGTTTCTTGCAAGAGTAGTCATCGTACAAACGAAAAACCTTTACGTTTACATAAGAAAATTGCTGAGAATTTGGTAGAGAAAAATGATTTTGTATTTCCAAATGAAATCTTCATTCATTTTATTGCAAAAACTCTGATCAACGCTTTAAACATGAAAGCGATCAAAGTAGTAGCGATGATAGGAAAAATGTAATCGAACTATGTTGATGTAATGGAATAATTTGACGGTGATATAAATTTTGAACGATTGAAAACTGAAGCAATCATGTTTAATGATTTTTTTTAAAGTCAGTTATTAGCACGAAGTGAATGGGAATAAATCAGATTACAAAAGTTTCAACTGTTTATGATATACTCAGTTTGTCTGACGTTGGCAAAAATATATTCTATGGGTTTGATAATTTAATCAAACAATATTTAACCATTTTAGTCCCAAGTAAAAAAATTTAAGCGAAAAATCAACATATCCACGATTTTAACCTCTTAAACGTTAATTTGTTTTTGAAATTAAATAGTAAACTTTATTGCAAAAATAATGATACAATTGACACAGAATATAAAAAGAAAGCAGAGTTTAGGAATTGTAGTCTTTATCTTTTTCCATAAAGATTGCTTCGACGAATATATTCTTCAATAACGGTTAAGAGGTTAATCCATACGTATATTCTTTCTTTTTTTGTTGTCAATATTGAAAAAAACAAAGAGAGCATGGTTTTTTTTATCGTCCGTCTGAAAATTGAATGAGCGTTGATTTATCTTCATCTGTTCGAAAAAATTACATTCACTATTTTAAATCACTGTACGTAGCCGTACACTAATTGAGGTTCTCGTCGTTGTAATAGAAGATAGTTAGCGACTTGACCTTGAATGGGTGGCAGAACATTCTTTGTCTTGTCAAATATACGATGACTGCTTGACTTCGCGCTAAATGTTCTCATTTCCCTAGATATGGGATGTGAACGATATTTTCTGCTTTTTCACACTGATAGCTATTCAAAATGAAGATCACCAATAGGAATATGTAAGTCAAGTTTGAAAATTGAAATAGCATAGGAAGAACTTAATCCACAAATGTCGATTCAAATAAACTTATTTTTATATTGGAAAGGACACTGCTAACGGACATGTTATCGTCAACTTTTTCAGAAACTTGCAAAATAGTTTACTTGAGATAGAAACATTCTGTACAGTCAATCCAGAGAAATTATCGAACGGATAAAACTACACATCGAAGTTCCACGAAAAAATCCAACATATTCTTAAATTAGTCACCGAACAGAAGCCGACGGTTTTCTAGCAATGTCAATTTGCCACATTTATGATAGTTCATTTTTTCTTTACCGTCCGTTGCAGATCTAGCACAACATTGGGGATGATGGCAACTTTTTGAATATTATGACTTTTATTCACTTTTCTTCTCATTCTCATCACTCAATGCTAGCTTCGACTCTCTTCCCGTTCGCTGTCGTGTTGGTATTGACCTTGATCGCGTAGTGCGTAATGCTTTTATTTATTTTCTGACTCGAATCTTACAAAGATCCATCATCATTACTGATCTGTACACATGATGCCCTTTCAAATTTACATTTAAGATAAGGTTGGAAATTTCGCATGCCAACAATCATATATTTGTTTCAATCAATACCTCGAGTATATAAACTTACTTTCATGGCATCCAATAGTCGTCATAATACAGTTGTCGATCATTATTGTAGGGAGAGTACTTTCAGCAATTACTTTCCGGAGCTCAAGTGGCTTTGTTTATGACTGTCTTCAGACACCAATCATAGACTGTCTGATCCCAATAGGCCAGTCGATTTGAACAAGAACACAGTGAGTCAACAAATCGAGGCGTCTCCGTATTGGCGTACTCACACTTGGCAGTTAAAGTATGAAAAACAAAATTCCCACGGTTGAACACAATTATCATCGGGCTGCGTTCTCAGTTAGATAAACGTATTTTTTTCGTATTTAACTCCTTAGCCACTATTGAAGAATATGTTCATCACAGTAATCTTTATGGAAACAATACAGACTACAATTCGTTAACTCTGTTTTCTGTGTACACTCTGTGCCGACTATAACATTATGTACTGATTGGAGCTCGCTCTATCGGTTCTAATGTTTCATATCGATTATGATCTTCTCTGTGAAATATAGCATTTGTCATATTTAATGGAAATTTCCATTCTGTATATCATTCTTGAATTAACTGTTGTATCTCAATTAAATTGTAGCACTTTTATTTTGTCTATTATTGTCTCTCTAGATAATAGTAATATATATAGAGTGTGTGTGGGTATGGGTGTGGGTGCAGATTACTAACGGGAACATCCACACTCATCCTTGTCTTTTTTTTCTTTTCTTTATCGTACAATTTTAAGATTTGCGGTTTTCCGCTCCCGATCCTTTAAAAATTCTCACATAACTACTTCGTTTTGTGAAAATCTTATTTTGCTCTCTTATGTGTTAGCTAAACACAAGAACTCCAGACTAATTGCCCAAAACACAAATATACAAAATCAAACGTCTAAATGTTTTGTTTTATTGAACAAACAATGGCAATGAGAATCCTACTTTTAATAAATGTTTGGAAATAAACGCCATTGTACAATATTTGTATATCTTTTCCAATCTGATCCAAATTTTCTTTGACAAACTTCATTATCTCTTCTTTCTCGATGTATAAAACATAATATTAAATAAATAATATATGTATACGGTATTAAATGATTCCGAGAACACAATAAACACCAGCCAATACTTTGCAATATATCACCTGTTAAGTTCATACGTCTTGCGATACCCCAACAACCTGAATATAATAATTTTGGTCCACGTTTTGTTTGAATATATTTAGCCGTATTAGGACGACAGATACCAAAGATTAGTTTAAGAAACGAATTATAACAGGATAGACCCCAAACTTTGGATGAATCATAACTGAAATTATGTTTTTGTAAATTAGCAATACGAAATAATAGGAAACCGCTAATGCATAAACATAAACAGAATAATAAATACCATGTTGATAATGTTTGTATAGATGGTGAATGTAAAGATAAGTAATGTGTTTGAATTGAAAAAAAGAATGGTACAAATACAATATCACCCTAAAATGAGAAACAGAGCATTTTTCGTATATTCTTCGAAATTCTAACATAAATAAAAGCTTTTTAGGCAGACTCATCAATTTTTTGTTTATTCAGTTTGGACAGATAAAATTTCTTATCTTTTATGTGAACCCTAATTTATACAAAAAATTGTGAGTATGACCGGAGGAGGAGAGATACGAGTGCTGGAGGTGACACGCTGACCATCGTCCTTGCCACAGCCCTTCTAACAATTGACTTATAGATTTCACAATAATAGAAAATATGTTTTGATATTTTGAATACAATGGAATATTTTGAAATTTCCTCATATAACATAGAATTACTTAGTCTTATTAACATCGAAAATCTTCTGCTCTATAACTATCACGAGGCTCTTGATGCAAAAGACAAGGCTTCGAACTATTGGTTATGGATGCATTTCGAAAACCAGATTTGTTCTACAAAATATGTGCCATTGAATAATTTGTTAATGAGGCAGTTGGAAATCTAGAGAGTATTCCTTTCTGAATTTAGTCATTGTTTTTTACCCATATCATCATTAAACCGAATTTTTCTTCCATTATATCCCATGTTGTTAATATCGCTTCTTCAAAATAATAATAATCAGTGACAAATAATGTTTGAAAAGCTGTTATTATAAGAATCGGTAATGAATAATTATCATTAAAATTTTGCTTTTGTTTTTCAATAAATGAAATATTAAATAAAACCCATAATATTAAACCAGGACGTCCTTCGAAAAAAAATTTAAAATCGAAATTATTATATCTTGGGTTTCGTGTCAAACCCATCCAAAAATCATATATGAAATTGTCACTAATCGATTGAAATTTTTTTTGTCGATAAGATAATATCGACATACAAATAGCAATCATAAACGAAAATATATTTGATACTACTAAAAGTGATGTAAAATTATCCGCTAAAAATGTTGCTGGCAGAATATGATAATGATAACATATTAAATAATAAATAATCAAGGTTAATAAATAAGCAATCAAACCATTTAATTTATAATCTAAACGTTTAATACTACCATCACTATTAACACCAACAGGAGTACCTAATGTGATACGACCCGGTAATGTAACAGCTAATACAACTTGAAATAGTATATAGAACATTAATATGGGTATTGCATTATAATCAATGGTAATTAATTGTATATGTATATCGATAATATAATGATAAAAATCAATAGTACATGGATTTTGTAATGCACCACCATGGTTTTTTGTTAAGCAATACGATAAATAGAATAAAGATAATGGTAAACCCTACCAAAAAAAAGCATGTGAGGCTTGGTGTTTTTATTTACATATTTAATATTTACAAGAATCATAATGGTAATACCTAAAACGCCACCAAATTGGTTAGCTTTAATTTTATCTTTTTCTTTTTGTTCATCGTCTAATAAAGCAGAAATATGAATATCCAATAACTCATCTAAAAATAAAAACTATTGTGTAAAAAATAGAAAAACACTATCTACTTACGTGAAGGAGAGTTAGATGATCTAATGCTTTGATTCTTCATACTTTTTAATATTGACAATGCTAAATCGAAACAAAAGATTAGAAGTGCTTTATGTGTTTGGCTTTAGATGACAGAATAGAAACTCAGATTGAAGTTGTTCTTAGACTGACTGTTCCCTCATCGAATCGCCGAATAAACTATTAAAAATTGCATACCTTTTGCGATTCACGTATGTTTTATGAAACAAACTTCACCTTATCTTTCGTGCCGCATGTACCACGTGCGCAACTGAAAATAAATTGTGCGCGTCGTAATTTTTTTTCTTTCTTCTCGTCAAAAGTATCGATCGATTCGTCACTCACACTCACTGATGTGACAGCTACGCTTGAAAAATATTAATAGAATACAAGCAAAAATTGAATGTATTATAAATCTGGGGTGTGGGTGGGTGAGAGCCCTATAGCTATTCTTCATCTACCTTACTTAACCTCGCACCCACACCCTGAAAATTCTTATCTTTGCTAGGGAAACGTCAGTCTCGATACATCCATAGTTCGAGTATAATTATGCTGCGTCTTGCTCATTATCATAGGTAACCGTGGAATCGGTCTAAGTCTGAACGTCTTGAGATCGAAGAGGATCTGAAAGATCATATCGGTCCTGTTTCTATAGAGTAGCAATTGTCAAAATCATCATTTGTTTTTATAATTCTGAGTTTTGGGCAGGCATAATAAAATTTATAGATAGTAATTCGTATTGAAGAAACAAGTATTTTATTTCACAATTTATTCTTTAAATATATTTAACAAATCCAATATGAGAGAAAAAAGTAGGAATAATTAATAAAAATCATTGGTAACAATTTCCCTGATATAAAAAAGAGAGAATATCTGATAAGTAATAATAATCAATTCAAAATAAACATGTTTTTTCCTTTATCATTTGATTGATGAACCAGAAATTCCTGCAGCTGTGTTCCAAAAGTGTACGTACAAATGAGTCATATGTTTTGTAAAAATTTTGAGCTACAAAAAATACAAAGTTCTAAAAATCACCAGGAGTCTTACATTAAAAGTGGCATGTAGATGACTGTGACTGGTAAAACTACATCTATATCCACATACCCACAGTTTGAAGCGGGAATCTGTATATTAATCGACAATATTGCCGTACTCAAAAGAAAGTCAAATATTAAAATTTTTATCGATATACAAGTATTCTCTTTCAATCAGCAAATTTAGTCATGGATTCTGTTCGAAAAGCAGAAAGAGAACGAAAGCGAAAGCGAAAGAACGACACTTTTAATAACACAGGTACTTAGTGGTTCGTAATTTCACTTCACTTTTCATATATCTTTAGGATGGAGTTAGAAAAAAAATATTGTGTAAATTGTTTTTTCATCATTCTGTTATTGTCTTGAGCAGCAAGTTACTTTTTTCTGTTATTGCAATCAAATAGCTTCTTGTTGATGGCAAACAGCAAAAAGAGAAGTAGTAATATGTTTACATAAGCAATGTGCGAGTATCACTAGCGATTCTAGTTGAGAACGGTTAATTAGGAGCAGTTTAATATTGTTTCCAATAAGCAATGCTACTATCAATCATTTTTAGTTTGATTTTTATTTCCATTGATAGAATCAACCGATGACATCGACTAAAACGAAAAATATGTGATCCTGCCGCAGCGAAACATTCGACAATAGATTCGATGGATCGACAGTCTAATGGAGTCAAAAGTAATTTGAATAGTTCGTATTCGCCTCATACAAAAAGACAATGATATGATTTATTCACCACAGAACATGAAAAATCTAACAAGGAATCATTGCCCAGTACTTCCAACTATGAAAAGCACAAAATATCTGGAGCAAGCGATGTACTACTACACCCTTCTGTTGGTGCCCGACGTGATACTCCTGAATTTGATATCACTCCAGGTAAAAGATATTGATATTAAGCTACATATCTATGCAAAAAAATAGTTTTTTCGTAGGACCGGGTAAGTACGTGCCGGAAAACGCAATGAGATCAGTATATAAATCAGCACCTGTATATAGTTTAACGGCACGACACTCTAGCCTCAGACACGACGCTATTCCTGATCCAGGAATGCATTCAATATCTAGACCCAATAATAAGCCTCAAACACCTTGCTATACTTTTGGGATCCGACATTCAATGCTCAAGGCACCGTTTATTGTCTAATACAAAAAGCAATAAAATGGCATTGCCATTGAGAGATACTTCATGATCTTTCAGTTTTAACTACTTGTACAACCTTTTTTCTCGCAGAATATGAAACAATGAACAACGAAATCGACTCTGTTAGAAAGGATTTTAAGATTTTCACTGTTGTATTTTGATTTTTCTCTCATTCACACGTGCTTATTTTTACGATTTCTTCCTGATACATTTGTTTGGATCCTATATATGGTGACGAGACATGCAAGGCTGTAGGTGTGGGTGTAGCTAATGGTGTGTTTGATTTGAATAAGGTGCCCACATTCACACACACACCCACACCCACACACTAAATTGAAATTAAAGTCGATATTTTATCACAGATAGGCTATCAAAAACTATTCTTTAATGATGATTAGAGTGAAAACAATCAGTTGGTATGCTAATGTAGATAAAGAGAAGAACTATATGTGCACAAATATTTTCAAGTGTTATCTTTATTAAATAAAACTAACTATAATTACAAATATGTTGATTTTGGTACAATGGAAATCAAGTGGATTCAGAAGAATGAAGCAATCGAATCATAACTAGTGATTTGGATGTGTTTGCTTCACATGTTTATTGTTTACTGATGTATCCAATTGCTTATTCATGCTTTTGCCAAGCCACACGTATATAGGAGGCGAAGGTCTGTGCTAATCACAACGACTTCTACATCTTCCACATAGGCTTAACTCTATCTGAATTGTAACGTCTCTTTCCTTTTGTGTAAGCCATTCGTTGATATGCTTCTTGAATTCATGTAGGTGAAGTACTTCAAATTTAACACTTGATAAATGTTAACTCTTTCCAGTATCATTTTTGCATCGTCTACACCTTTAATACTAGAATTAAGACGTGTGATATGACGAGGCAATTTTAAACAAATACCATTAAGAATAAGCGCTCTACTCCTTCAATCGTAGTGGTGTATGTTAATTGAACGAAGATGGAATGCTTGTTTGAATAGGATTTCCAATGCGACATCTAAACTAACAATCTCGCAGCTTCACTCAAAATATAAATTCAAGTTTTGAACACTAGATAGATTAACAATCTTTGAAAGATGTTCAATTGAGTCGATCGACCATATTTTATTGATTATGAGTTTGAGTTCTGTTACATTGGAAAACAGAAAATTCGATGTTGAATGAGTCTAAAATAAAAAAGGTGTACGGTTTTAAGATATTCAAGTATGAAATATAAACTCTTTTTAATGAATGCAGGTGTGAGTATGTCTATTCTCTTGAGCACCCACACCCACACGCTTGAATGGAGTTTTTGTTAGAACTAGACCTTAAACTTTCTTCCCATTTATTCGAGTTCCATCTATTCCGGAAGATTCATGAATTTCATTGTGATTTTCCGGAAGAGAGTTTGACATCAGTAAATAGCGTATTCAAGAATATTGACAATCATTCAAAATCAACAGTTACCGAAAACTACTAATAATTTTGATTTGAACATGCAAAATAATGCTTACCGTTGATGAAACTCCGTCAGTTATCATTTCGTTCAAGTTCAAAGACAGTTTATGTGCATTGACGACGATTGTGGCATTGTTTTCAGCGACATTCAACGTGGAATATACAATTTTGTCTCGGGAGTTTGGATACTCGAAATGACTTCGAAAGATTGGTATTGAGTACAAATGGAATTTCTGACTATGCTCGCTGTACTCATAGTCACACTTGATAAACCATTTTTTATTTTCGAGTCAAAATGGAGTTTGAAACGGCGCGATCAGTGATTCTACAGTAACACGATTTGAACCAAAATCTCGAGAATTGTAAAACCAGAATTTAAATTTATTTAATAAAGGCAATTTCGGTTGAATCGAAGATGCTTTAACATAGGTCAAATTGAACGGAGTGATTCAATTTCGTCCATTGTTAAATCACTATAGTCGTTTATTGAAAGCGGCGTTAAATGACTTGATGATCAGATATCAGAATCTGTAGCAATAGTTTTATTGTATTTGTTTTGATTATGAAGTTTTTTCAGAACAAGCGTTCGTAGATAAGGTAAATGATTAAGAATAGACTAAAATGTATTCAAATAACATGTAGATATTGTCACATGTTCCAATCTACATTGAATAGGCCATTCTATTTCATTTCTAACATTCAAATCTTCATCGAATTCAAATCTAAGAGGATCAATGTGTGAAATGATAGATGATATAAGTGCTAAGTCGAAGAACTTTGAGTTATAAAATTTAGAATAATTACCGGGTGAAACTGAGAATGTTCTAAGAGGATATTTCATTATATGTTTTTGAAATGTTTGAAATTCTTTTGTTTCTACGTTAATGAGATTCAATGAACGTAGTCGAATGAATTGGTCAATAGAAAATACAGAAAGAAATAATTTAATTTGATCACTTGTCTGTAATTCATCCGCAAGCGTAACTGAGATGACATTTTTGGGATCAATAATAGATGTCAAGATAGGCAGGTCAGATTTTGATTTGTAACGAAAGTCTAATTCAAATCGATTGTAAGTATTAGAAATGTAATAGAGCCGTGTATTCACACACCGAATTGAAAACGCAATTGTTTCTGCATTGAGATGGTCGAAAATTCGATGAACCACTTCGATGGATAATTCTTTAAGATAAAATTTGTTTGTAAAAGACATTTGTAAGCCGTAATTCGTCGAATGCACGAGTATAATGTAGTTCGTTCTAACTATACGTCATGATTGAGTATTCAAGTCTACTATGAACATCTAATGATGTATTACAGTCGAATACATAAAATGAAAGAAAATTTTAAAAAGATTCTTCGCTTATTTATACACCAAAATTTCGAGAAAGAAACGAAACAGTGAGTCATTGAGTCACTTCCGAAGTATTGCATACTAGCAATGCAATAACCAATGTTTAATTTAATGATGAAATAGCTTTCATGTAATATTGCTGTTCTTTTGTACAATAGAACAATTATTGATTAATTTAAAAAATTCAGCGTGAAATAATCTTATTGCTATTTTATTAATTTCAGTAAAAAAATCTGTTTGAAATGAATTTGAGACGATAACAATGTTAAAATGGAAATTCAATAGCTTTTCATTGAAGTTTGAAAAAATTTTAGCGACACCCAAGAAATTTAATTGAAAATTTCACTTGCTTAAAATGTATTCAGACATCGATTGATACTCGTTAGGAATATAAAGTTAACTTGTTGACGGCGAACTTATATTTTTGTCATAAAAAAATGAAATTATGTTGCCAAAATTAATTATACTTTGAAAATTATGAATGGCCATGATTGTTGCACTTAGATTTCATCTAAAGAGAGTGCCGGTGTGGATGGGTGTGGGATGTGGTTATCAGGGAATGCAACAGTTCACACCCACACTCACACCCTCAAAGCTTCCAGATCGCGATTGATTAAGAGCTCTCTACGATTAAAGCAGAGTAAACATATATTGCATTTTTTCCTACAACAGTTCGAAACAAATACTCAATGCTCAATCCTTCTTTGTATTTAATTCTTTTAAATAATAATGTCTGGCGACAATCACTGTTATCTATAAGAACATGATATTCTTATATCTCATGAAAATTCAGTAGTTGATGTAATGCGATGCCTAATGAAGCGTATCAATAATTATTAAAATGCTGCTCATATCAAGTTTTGACGGAGGGTTAGCACTTCTGATTCATTTACTATTTTAATCGTCAAGTTGAACGTCAAAATAAGTGATAGTTTTTATTAATGAATTAAAATAATGACTTGCAACGAAATGTTTCAAGTTAAGCTATATCCTCCATAAGCAATATAGTATGAGAAAAAAACCAGTGTTTCTATGAACGAAGAAAAACGTTGTTTCTAATGTAACCAGCTAAGATTATCTGTAGTCTAAAGAAAAATTCAGAGTAATTTATTTTTAACATTAATTGAATGATCGATCACATCATAAGCAAAAGTTTGCCAATAGATATTACCTTGGTTAATCACGTACAGAGCAGAATTTGGTATGCGTATCAGGATATAGTGATGGTTGAGCATCATCTTGTTGAAGTGAAGCTGATGACTGAAGAAGATTTGTATTCAGATGAACTGGAGGATTTCGATCAATTTCAATCACTATCTATAACAATGAAAAAATGATCAAATTAAAACACTCAGAACATTCTTCACTGGTCATTTATCTCTAGACACGTCATTCAACTATCTCTTTCTATAACACACTTTGATCTTGTTTATCACTGTTTGGAAAAAAATGCGAAAGAAAATTTGATTTAAGTGTAGAAATTAGATACAATTTTAGTTGTCAGTAACGGGAAGATCAACCAAAGTCTATTACTTACAACACAGTGAACTCGATGACGTCTGAATTTGCTTTGATATCCTCTATTACATGCTCGAATGGTATTCAATCGCCAATTACATGGAATTGGTGATCGCATCGAGTATTTTATTGACTCTTCAGCAATTGCTTCTCTCAGTCGACTCAGACGGCGTGATTCCATCATACAAGTTCCTATAACATGACAAATCACTCCGAAACATGTCACTCCAACTCCAACGACAAGTGTTGAATGAGGCACGTTGGTACTATCATTGATTGCTGTTATTCCTCCGACACTGATTAAGAATATTCCAATAGCGATGCATAAAACAATAACAACGGCAAATCTGGTACAACGTTTCTTTGTAGAAAGGCTCTGATTGATATTATCGATTGATTATCTAAACTCTTCTGGGCCAATAATGCCAAACAAGTGCATTGAATAGGTTGAATCAAAGTCTGCTCGTAGACATCCACCTGTAATATTAGAAAAGGAAGCTGTTCATATTAAATTAACTTCCAAATAGATGAATCCATACTTACTCCTTATCATTAAGATCAAGACTGAGCTGGGATTAAGTCGAGTATCACTCATTTTTATACGTGGCTCACGCTAAATAAGAAACACATCAGACTTAGATTGATTTTAATTCAAATATCAATGATATTTTCGATATTTTTTTATGGAATGAAAAGTAGCAACTACTAATCTAATTATCGGACATATTTCGGGCATATCTAACAGCATCGATAATCGCAAATAGCTGCACATAGACGCAACTTGCGTTTGTTATACACTAGAGATGAAGTAAAAATGACTAAAACAGTCACAGATGGATTTTAAATTGTCCTTTCTATCATTCTCAGGATTTAACTCTAAAGAATAAGAAACTAGGTATTGTAAAGAGAGAAAGAACACAACGAGGGAGAGATTCATTACTATCGTGCATCTAATTATCTATCTTTTTAATTACTTTGTGTAAGAACCTCAGAAAGTACTGCTGACCTGTATATTTGTGACAAGCATAGAGCACACTTATCAGACATGTGCTTGTCACAAACAGACTACTTGAAATCGAAATACCCGCTGCCCGACATTGATTCTTTGAATTGTGTACATCAGTATACTTTTTTGTGGTGAATCTGTTACTAAGAACGAACTTATCAGATGAAATATCTGTATCATTTGAAGATAAAGATTTATCTCACATCAATGTTAACAGGCAAAGTTACTGCTCATGGTGCTTTCCTGATAGGCTAAGGTTTTTACTAATGTATGTTATACAAGGGGGAAAAAGCGCGACTCCACCGTACTCCAATGGTACTCCATACGTACTTACTGGTACTCCACGGTACTCCACTGGTATTCGAGTGATACTCCAGTGGTACTCTATCGAACCACACTGAAATTTTACTGGAACTCTAAATTTTTTTTTGCTATGTACTCCGCTGGTACTCCAACAATTTTTTTGGAGTACCATTGGAGTACCGTGGAGTACCATTGGNTGGCCTGTACAAAGAACAAAAGATTCATGCAATATAACTGTCTATATTACAAGGGCAAATGTTAGTAAGTTATACAGCAACATCCAGAAAATCATTGATCGCGGGTATGAATAAGACGGTTACAGAATTCAGGTTGCAATATGTGTCTGAGGTTGGACGTATATTGAACACTCTCCTTGAAATATTCTATAGCAATTTCATTTCTACAAATTTTAATACTGATTGGAGGCTGATGTACGGAAATGAATCAGACAATTTTCTTTTACGAAGTGTATCTCTTGTGTTCGTCAATAGTACCTGTAATTGCGTTGTTTCCAGAGTTTATCAAGAACTCTTAAGAATTGGTCCACCTGATCTAGTATTACCGGGTCTTGTAACTGGCTGCTCATCTATGAAAGACCTACTTATGTCGACACTCGAATACTTCTTTCGTCGAGTTGTATGTCAACTAACATGAATTATCTAGAATATTATACGAAAATTGATGGATCACCACCAGCTAATTTCACTCCTCCAGCAATGTCTCCGATGATTATCTTTCCACTTAACAGTTCAATACCTTCACGTTTTTTTTGCGTAGTACACCGATTGGTTTGATTATTGATGAAGCATTTATTGAGCAGTCAGACACAGTTATATCATACAAGAACTACTATTTCGCATGAGTCCTCAGTGTTTGTTGCTACGAATATGTTAGACGCAATTGTTTCCTGTACGTTGGAACAACAATACTTGGTCTTTATGACAGTCTAACTACTGGTTTACAACTGGGCATTTTGAATTTGATAAGAGTCTATTATTACGTTAAAGATCGATTTCGTAGTCATCGGTATAAACACTGATCAATAATTATAAATGGCATGATCGAGGGACCTAAATAATTCATACTCTGACATTTGTATATGAGTATAGTTGAAATATTATTATTGTTCACTTGCTTTTATCACTGTAAACACACGATTACAAAGGATAAATCACTGAGTAGAGCATAACTTTATTTTCTTATTATATTTGACACAAAAAACTTTGAGCTTCTTCGGACACAAAATAAATAAGAAAAAGATATTCAATTTACCAGATTTTTTTGTGTGCGTAGACCTGAATAGGCACAAACACACTCTATATAAATACATACACTCAGATCAGCAATCAAAATGCGATCCGTTCAATATCATTCATCCATAACTTCATGTTGTCATCGTGATATTGAGAGCTCAAAATTTCAAGTGTAGGACTATTCAACCTTAGGAGCAATCATGTACGTCAATTTTTTCGAATCAGTCTCAACAATCAAAATCTAGTAATTAATTGTCACGTATCACTTTTGCGGTAACTTCATTACCTTAACTGTGCTCTTCTCTCTCAGAATAGAAGACCATTTCCTGTATAAGACAAGAGTTCTAGCGTCATTAGAGAGTTTTATGCTGATCAAGAAATATCTGTTAGAATCTGAAGCGTTTCTGAAAATTTCTCGCGAAACCCTCTCTTTCATCTAAATCAGTAATCTGTTTTCGGCAAAAAACGAGTTTTTCAATGAAGATACGAGCAGAAGAAGTAGAAAAATGTTGACTTCTGTCAAGCCATATACACGACTTATTGATTACCAAAGTTTGGTCTTGTCAAAAAATGAAAATGTTTGAAAATACTCTTTCCGTGGACTCATAGAGTTTTTTTTCTTTCTTGTTAGAGAAAAAAAAAGAATTTTCATTCTCAAAAGAACTAGAAATTTCGGCAGGCTTCTTCTATATGAATCTGTTTTGTGATTAAAAATTATTTTAAGGGGATTTTTCTGTTTAGATTCTCGCACAAGACATATCCCGAGCATATCGGGACATATCAAGTCAATTCATTCGTTGTTTCCGGATGTAACGACTGATGTTCTCAGCGAACTATCGATTTTTGCAACAAAAGTCGTCGTTTTTACAGAAGCTTAATTTGTCGATTTCATTGATAACAGCGAGAAAAAATCGGTCGGAAAAATTTTCCTCAGACTAATGTTTGAGAAATGCTGCAAGCAATCTTTGTAATGATATCTGTTTCTATTGCTCTTGTATTATGAGGCGACTTATTATAAAACAATATGATAAATATCATCATAAAGAATCATCGTAAATTACTCAAGCTATTCGAGAAGAATTTAAACACTCTCAAGTATAGCAAAAATAGTATGAACACAATTAAGCTGTGAATTTCAAGAAGCCCGTGATACTAAAGACCCATATCGAGCAATAGCCCAAAGTATCTTGTATCGGAAGCTACACTGGTTTCTGCAACATTGAACTGATTTGATGACAAAATCGCAATTTTTTCAGAAACTCGAAATATTAACTAGACGCAAAATGATGATATTAGATATCACTTAGAGTTGGTTGATTTCTGATTTAATCTCGACATATATATCCACGAACTAGGAAATCAAGTAGGATTCAGTGTTTGAAGTATTCAATCGGAATTGTATGCGCTAATCTTTCTAATCTTGCCGGTAAGGATGTGTGTGTTAGTGTTTAATGCTATCTCATTCTAGAATACATTGAATTTTCAATTTCTGAATGGTACGAACTGCAGTTAGATCGGCAATTCTCATCATCCAAAAATTGGACATTTAGAGCATGTGTGTGCTAGTCTTCTCTTTCATCTATATCTCACATCCACCCGTTTTGACGCAAATAGGAAGGTATCTATGTGACTATTATATTTTCACGACATAGATTTGAGTTAAAGCACGAGAAATTCATTATCACAATATAAATTGAATATGCATGATACTTATATATGATTAGTATTCGTTCATCATTTTTATTCTATCTCGAAAAAATAACGTCGATAGATTAGTTATTATAAAATAAAAACTTCGATTTATACATTAAAATAATATTATGGCAGTTGAAAAATAAAAACTAATTAACTGATATCGAAAACACGATGATATTTAATTAGCTTACTACAAACAATTAATAAACCAAATTTTCGCCTTTAACGATATTTTGATACGAACAATCTTGACGGAATTCACATGCTTTTGGACGATCATGTGGCGAATAAGCTAAAAGCCATTGAATTAAACGACACTTAAATAGAAATAAGTTCAAAATACAGATTAAAAAGAACAAGAGAATTCAATCTTACAATTGATTGATTACATTGGAAATCAATTGGAAATACGGGTGTTTGAAGACGAATATTTTCTAATGCTCGTATTCGTTCCATTTGAGTAGAAAATGGATACAGAAGTTCAAATAGAATAATACCTATTGCATAGATATCTACTTTTTGATTATATGATTGACGATTGATTTGTTCCGGACTCATATAAAGTATTGTACCACCAAATTCATTATTTTCAGTATGATCTATTTTCTCAATTTTATCTTCACCAAAAGCACTTACAAGACCAAAATCACCAATTTTTACAATATTATTCATAGAAAAAAGAATATTTGAAGGTTTTAAATCACGATGAATTAATTTTTTTGAATGAATATATTCAATACCATTGATTATTTGATCAACTATTGACCAAGCTTCAGATTGTTTTTTAATAGTTTGTTTTATTAATCGATTACGTAATGATTCTGTTTGACATAATTCCATAACAAAATAAAAATAAGTTATTGAACAATCAGAACTTGTTTTTTCAATAGAAGATTTTGATTCATTGAATATTATTTTATCATCATTGTTTGATATTTCTTCATTCGATGAATCATATGAATGTTCACATAATGATGAATTACTACCTTCATGAATCTGTGATAGATTTAATGAACGTTCAAATGTAAAATCAATTAATGGTGAAAGACAAGATGTAGAAGAAAGCTTTCTTTGTTGGGATTGTATATCTGATTGATTATCATCATTTGATACTGCTGATGTAGAATATATACTAAGTGAGTCTCTATTTAAAAGAAAAGGAAAAATTTAAGAAAATCAATCGATACAAAAGATTATACTTTGTAAGTTCATTATTTCTCAGTATTAATTTTTTATCTTTTTCATCTTGCCATCCATTTGGTGGACATTCATGCCAAGCATAATAATACTGTATTAAATTTGGATGATTTAATATAGCTAAACATCGAATTTCTTTCAATGCTCGTTCTGTACTCAATGATCTTCAGAGAAGAAAAAAGAAAGCATTCTTCTATTTCCACAAACAAATCTTACTTTTTTAATGGCACTCTTTTAATTGCTACACGTCGTTCATCTAATTTATTAATTGCTTCAAATACAATACCAAAACCACCACGTCCAAGAACTCGAACATGTTCATATTCAAGTATGTATCTATACGAAAACGACATTTTTAGAAAATAAAATCGTGTTATTCATACCGAGATTGAAATGTTGGTTCAGATAATTGATGTTCAAAAGTGATGTCGTTGTTCTTTGATATTATCAATTTCTGATGTTGTATATCTATATGTTTTTGTTTACAATACCAAATAAGTATAATAATCAAAGCACAGAAACATACACTTGATATAGTCAATATATTAATCCATAAAATCCATGTTGAATTACTATTAATATCTACTAATAATTCATATTTTTCTTCTTCTGCTATATCTTCATGTGAATCGATTAGTTCCAAATATCCAACAATATCCAATGATTCATCTTGCCGTACAACTAACGGATAATTATGATCAACTGTTGAAAATCTGTCATTATTGTTTGATAATTTAGAATTTATCGATAGATGATGTTTTTTATTTGTTTTATACGAAAACGAAAGTAATGGCTTTTTCATATTTGATGGATTAAAAACTACAATAGAATATACTATTTTACAAGAAAATAAATAGATATGAATTAACCATTCTTTTTTCTTGCATGATAAATTAATTGACGTTGTACACGAGATGAAATAATTACATATGGAATTGAATTGAATTTTCCCATAAAAGCAAGACGATGTGATAGTCTTGTTTTTAATAGAGATTTTTCTTTTAATTGACCATTTTTTAATTCCCATACAGCAGCTATTGGATTATTTATTGATGATGTCCAAATCAAATGATTATTATAATCAAAAGCTAATATCAATCCAGTTTGTAATTGATATTCGAAAAATACTTTAGAAATAAACATAAAGAAAATTGTATTTATTGAAGAAATTTTTTTTACCAGGATTTTCATTATAATTATCAATTTTTTCAAGAATTTCACTAGACGATGGAATATATAAATGCATTAATTGATGATTTGAAACACTAAATTGATGAGGTAGAAAATAGTTTAATATGAAATAATTTTAGAATACTATGAAGCACGATCTAAAAAGAGTGTTGAAGTATAGAGATCAAAATTATATCGTGTTTCATATATAAATCTTTCGCAGGGATTACATGCTAACAGATTTTTCTTTTATACCTGAAATTCCATTTTTCATGTCCATTTCGTAGACATCGTGCACGAACAGTTTGTTTTATTCGTTTAATAATAAGTATCGATGCTGAACATGTACTATCGAATGTTGTTTGATCCACATCGTCTTTTGAAGATGAATAAATAGTCTGAAGGAAAAAACAAACCAGGATTACTTTTTTCTTTGATGAATATTATTATTTTTCTCTTTTTCTACTTTTCCCGTATGTAAATCGAGACCAATTGTATCGATATCTTTTCCGCCTATCATAACAAATTCATCATGAAGATGAAATGATGTATTAAGTAAAGATTCAGCATCAAATGGTAATGGTTCCATATGTTCATTTTCATCATGTATTCCATAAAGACCGCCAAGAAGTGATGGAATTAGACGAATTGATTTTGAATCATGAGATATTTCAATTTTGTTAATAGTTGAATCAACTAAAGGTAAACCGATATTAGCTATCCATAATTGACGACCCTTTTGTTGAACATCAATTGCAGTTATTTTACCATCTAATGAAATAACATATAAGACATGACTAGAAAAAAAAAAGCATAAAAATAGATTGATTGATAAAACATTATCAATAGTATTGTATATTGGTCGATATTGAATACATTTGCAGATGATCGTATCAACAAAAAACATTGTAGACTTCATAGATCTAATATATTATTTTCATATAGGTCACTCCTCAAAGAACCCCTAATGAAAATCTCCAGAAAGTGGTAGAAACTAACACTGGAAGTTCCAACCATTTTGCGGGTGTACTCCAGTTGTACGTTGTTGACTTTGGTTCACAACATCCGTTTTCTTTCTATTTTAATACAAGAATTTAACGTTTTATTTACTTGAAATTCTCGATTTTTTTCGATGATAATTTTGACGCTGTTTGAATATCACGAGGCTCAAACAAAGCTATTGTTCTATCAGGATTATCATTTTGTTGACGATAATTATTTATATTAATTCGAAATGGTAAAACATACAAATAGCATAGTATCAATAAGATAACGATTAATGATACAACGAAAATCCAGCGTAAACTTCGGAAGAAAAAAAATGAATCAGAAAATAAATATAAATTAGCCTTATTAATATATTTATACATGATGATGGTGACGGCTAATAAACATCTATGAATATAAATCAATAATTAAGAAAATATCAATAATTTAATCATGTGATTTTATATAAGGAAAATTTTTCTTGTTCTTTGCATGACATCAAAGTGACGAAGTATCCATAAAACATGGATTCAAGCGACAACCATTTATACATATATAAAACATTATTGCACGCTTACCTTTCCGTAGTGTGGCGACACGTCAAGAACAATAACATAACTAATCATATTGTATGATAGATTGAATGAAAGAAACTATATCAGATTTTAGTGACTTTACTATTTTTTGTTAATAAGCTATTTTGTTTTAGTTCGACAATTTTGATTAAGTTGATATATTTAGTCATGTGAAATTATTTCGAACATAATTTGGTCTTGAAACAAGATTCATAGAAATCTATGAATAATCTTATTTTTCAAGCAATAAATTAAACACAAATAGAACTATTTCATTTGATAATTTCCTCCTAGTTACTTAAAATTTGATAATCATAAATATTTTGTTTTCTTTTTTAATACGAACGGATGTCCGTAATAGATTATGCAAAAAACATTAGAATATCGAAAAAAATATTACATTTGATAGATTACAAAGAATATTATGATTTTAAATTGAGGTTGAACACTTATTTCAGAAAACTCCTATATTAAAATTAAATCAGTCCATCGTTTCTTAGATCTGTTGATTAGCGGTTCTTGTATATTGAAGGTACACTATTGACTGCTTCCTTGTTTTTTGCTTTAGTAAATTTCTATAGAAATGAAAAAGAACACAATGTCATAATTAAAAACAACAATCAAGTTTATGATCTTGCTGAGTATTTTTACTTATACAAACAATTGTACCGTGTGTACTACATTGAAGAAAATGAATATGTTAAAAACTAATTAAATCTTCGTCTACTATCCACACTAAACACAAAAGAAATATATTCAAACAACAAATTGCCTTTTTTCTCCTTTTCATTATCATGCTTTTATATATACCCAAGGGATGAATCTTCGTGTGAGAGATATAGAATTTGAAAAGCAAAAAGACAACAAGATTTGTTGTTTTCTCGACCATATTTAATCAGTAAAGTGTGTGACTTCAAAGCCCAATCGACTCGTTTCTTGTTTCCTTGTTTTACAAAAAGCCATTCGGAACTATTCGAAATGTCTTTTAAGATATTCCATATAATCTCTTATCTCAAAAGACTGCTTGCAAAAGATATCCCTGTCAAAAGTGAGTTATGAAGAAATGATCATTAAAATGCGTATCGATTCGTTTGTGAACTATTTTCGGCCTTTTATGATCACTTTGTCTATTTTTTCGAAATTTTGAACTGATTTAATTATGCTTACAGTTTCTAAAAATCCTACAATATGCTAGTGTTTGTGCTTACAATGATTCACATTTTACACAGAAGCCAAGTGTATTGTTCGAAATTTACACAATAAAAATCAATAGAAATTTTCTGTTATAACTGCATATGTGTATCTATGTAAAATGATTAAATATCACATATGTCTATGGTTGATTGTCATTACTATAGTGAAATCCATTCTCAAGTGTTACATTTACGTTTCAACCTAACTGAATTTCGTTTTTATTAAGTTTTTCTCAAGTTTTATTCAACAATTTGTTCAAATGATGATTTAATAGCAAGGGATATCCTTGTAACGAATGAATAATCGATATTTTTAGTCTTTTACATTTTTTTCTACGAATGCAATGCAATAATCTTAGTTATTATTCGGAGTCAATTTTTTTTTAGAAATAATTGTGTATTTATCCTCGGTTTCATATATCTATTTATTAATATATTTGTTTATACTCTGTTCTGTTTTTGTTTTCTGTATCTAAATTATCTAATTAGTTTATTCAAATTGGTCAACAATAGTCTTTGTCTTTAAACAAAGAATACTGATCGAGCAACAAGAGAACATAAAGTCGATTCTTTTTAAATGCAGATGATTTAATTGTAACATGTTATGCGTCTCTTTACCGAATGCAACTTAGAACATTGCAAACTATAAACAAAAAAAGTAGTAACGAAAAATGGTTCTTTGATTTTTCACCGATTTAGACACTTGAAAATTTTTCTTTCGATTAAATTATTGTGTAATTTACTAGTGCGTTTCATATCTCTTTGAGTTAAATGAATACGACTTAAAGTTTTTCAATGTATTTGGAAAAATATTGAGAAATAGATCTTATGATTAAATCTGATGTTGTTGATCACCATTCAGCTAACAAATTAAAAAATTTGATGGCTCTTGAAGTGGCTGAACCGATATATCTGAAGTTTAACATCTTTAGAGTATATGTAACATAGTGCATAAATCGAAATTTTAGCAGAATTTGTTTTCTTCTTTTGTCATAATTGGACAGAGTTAGTCGAGTTGCATAAAAAAAATATATTGGAAATTTAAAAAAAAATTTACCAAGAATCAGTGTTTTGCATCTATTTGTTCATATGTAGAAAAATAATGGTATCTTGGAATTTTGCGTAAAACTTTTTTTAAAATTTACAAGATATTCTTTTTTATGCAACTCGACGAGCTGTGCCTCAACTATGATGAAAAAAGAAAAAAAATTCTGCTAAAATTTTGATTTATGAGTATGTTACGTATACTGTAAATATGTTAAACTTCAGATAATTGGTTCAGTCACACTAAGAATCATCGTTTTTTTTAATTTGCTAGTTTAGTAGTGATTTAAATAAAAGTTATCTTTTGGCATTTTTGTGACCGTTCAACATCGTTAAAATGATTTCAATATTAAGACATTTCAATTCCATTTTACCATTTTTATCCCTGCCTAGGATAGTTTCTACAGTAATTACTACTTCCATCTGGTCACTCTTGTTTGTAAGTACTATTTGTGTCCGATAGGAGCAACGATGAGGGTATAAAAATTTAACCGAATAGATTCAACTCTTTAGTTATGTCTAGTATAATACTAATAAATAAAACTGCATGATAGAGAGATTTATCTGCAAGAGAAGAACGAGTAAATGAAAGAGTATAGAACTTTTTGCAGTGGCATTTGAGAACTTAATAAATGATTTATGATAGATGAATCAATTCAGCAGCAGCTGTCTGTGACCTTTAGAAAGGCCTACTACTGCTTTTTGTTTCTGAGCCAACCATACATGAAGGCAAGGTCTATTGAAAATCGTATTTATTTGAAAAGTTATGTACCGCAAGTTAAATTCGCATGTCACAAGTACTTAGAGAAAAGCTGGTTTAATAAAAATATACTTTTTGGACAAACAAAAGATAATCAGTGAAGTTTATTGGAAAAAAACAGAATTTATACTACAAGGAGAGAGAGAGAGAAAGAGAGAAAAAAGAAAACATCTACAATAACCTTCTTCTTTGTTAGAAAACAAATATGAAAAGTGTCTTGAAATTAAGACGAAAAAAAGAAGACGAGTAAATGTATTGATGAAGACAAAATTGAAGAAGAGCAAATAGAAAGGAAAGAATGACGAAGTAAAGACAACATCTACTAGCTCTTTACTTATAACAATTGAGGAATCAACCTCAAAATCGTTTATCATGTAACAAAATTTATTATTAAATCAAAGAGAATAGAGTCAGAAGATCATTTTGTGGATTTTCTAGTTGATCTTCTGAAAAAAAAATCGTCTTTGGATTTTGTGATTTTCGAATTATGTAGTTAATGTTGTGCTGTTGCCGTTGATACCATTTCTTCGTCATTTTCAAATACATTCGAAATCTTTCTTCTGAGCAGTAGAGAAAAGCTAGAACCAAGCAATCTTATGGAAATATTAAACTCTAATGCCTGTAATTGATATTGGGGAAGTATTATGAAATAATTCCACTTTCGTATACAGGAAGATATCACATTTGCAAGGAAAGTTTGGCTGCACATTGCTCTGCAGTTGTTAGATGTTCCACAGCAGATATCATGTGCATTAAAAGCAAGTGTAAATTTCCAAGTATTGCCTAACAGATTGATAATGAAGTTTAGAAGCTGAATCTTCTTCTTCCCAGCCGTTGGTCGTGGAGTCTTTCTTCTCATGGGGTTTAGGATGATTAAACCTACAATAACAAACATCATCCTCACAAATTAATTTTCTCAGGCATTCGACTCTATACAACCGAACAGTTTCACTTTCACCAGCGCAATTAGCAATTACGTTGACTCGTAAAGTACTGTCGTTGTCGTTCAATAATATAGTAGTCGTATCCATTGACGCTAACACATACAGTGGTAAAAACTCACCGATTTAAGTAATAAACTTCGATTTCATCTTTAACGACGTAGGTTTCATAATAAAATTTCACTTTCACATCTGTTTCCAAATATCGACTATTCTGTCATCAGATGTATCACCTCCAGACACACTTTGTTCGTTACATTGTCCTCGTGCACCAACTGCTTGAACTGAAAAGGCATTCAAATTGTTCGGATTTATGCTGTCGTCGTTATTGGCCGACCGTTTGGTTGCTGTCGAATTAATGTGATTGTTGACATCCAAAGGTACTATTGGCGATTCTTCTCTAGGAACAAAAACGACGATTTCAAAATTGCTTAATCGACCAAATGATCGAGATATAATGAAATATCCGACATGTAGTTGGATGTTTTACGCAGAACATCTGGAATCCTAACAGTCATTTCTTGAGCAATGAGCAAGCAAAAACATTTGACTGAATCAGGCACTTTTGAACACACATCAACTACCAGATAGACTTCCATCAATTTCATGCGTACATTGCTATGTTGGACAATTGTTGAAAATAGTTTCTTCATATCAAAATAGTAGTCCATTCTTGTATCATTGGTGGGTAACGGTGCATAATATCGCCTACCACCGATATTCAACATATACTGAACTTTTGTTCCTATGACTTATATTACAATAATCCATCAGTAAAATTGGCATCTTCAATCGATCAACCAGCAGTCTTATTATTTAAGTCAATGACGATTCCGGTGAAGAAATTTGCTACAGCACAGTCTGATAATAAATCGAATACAGATGTTCGACATATAATATGAGGTATATTGTGAGTGGCTGGTATTTTATATGAACTATTCTGTAATAGAAGCAACACTGCAGACTGATCATTGGCACTGTCATAGTTGACAGGACAAGTCCTATATGTGGATTGCGTTAGGGCAAATCGTTTCCAGCTGAATGTGTAGATAGCTTTGTCTTTTTTGATAATACAAAACAGATTGAACATTTCCAGAGTAGTCCTTTCTATCGAATACACTAACATCGGTCAATTTCATAATTTGATTGTATTTAACATGGGGAAAAATTATGCTTGCCGATAAGTCTACAATCTATTCATAGCCATCATCACAACCGTATGGGAAAACTTACCAGAATCTTCTATCAATTATTTTGCCAATTCAAAAACTTTCGATTAACAGGTCCGGCAGGATTCGTTGATTAATCATGAATAGCCTGACAAAGAATCCAGACTATTAGTTAACATCCAATTGAGTTTCTCATTATCTGACATTAGAATTTTGGACGAATGCTGGATATCATCTATTTCAAAGCAACATCATCTTTCGATTGAGTTTTCTCACCATTACAGAGAGGCTTGTACCAGCTGTTTCAGTTGGTATTCATTTCGATGTGGTTTCATTGCTTCTTGTTTTGTCCATTGTTGCTCCATTTCTTGCTGTCTTTGGGATTGTTGTTACGACGGCGCCCTTTTGATCTGTTGTTTCATTAATTCTGGTTCAGGTGGATGATCTTGCAGTAACTGCTCCCCACTATTTGTTATTTCATTACTTGTTGTTTCACAGGCTACTGTCACTCGTTGCTCCTTCACTACGCAGGGTGCCGTTCATTCTTCTTTACAGTGGTTGTGGCTTCTTTTCAGGATATTCCACTATTTGTTCCTTCACTTGATTCTGTTTCAAAGCTTGTCCTGCCATTCAGCGCTGTTTCACTTGGTGTTTCAACGATTCTTTTTTCACTGGTTGTTATGTAAGCTGCTGCTCTTGCATTGTTTGTTCTTTCAGCTGCCCTAATTTCACCGCATATGATATCACCGATTGTTATTTAGTTTGCTGTATTTCGATTGATCTTCGTTCGCGCGTTTTCTCTCTCACTGGTTTCAGTGTCATTATTTCTTCGACGAGATACTGTTGTTTTATTCCTTGTTAGCCGAATGTTTGCTCTTTTAATGATTGTCATTCCAGTTACTTTTGTTTCATTAGTTGCTCCTCAAGTGCTTGATACATGATTCCTTGTTCCTTCATTCGTTGTCATCTTACTGGTCATTCCCTCATTCTATGCTCTTCAACTTGTAATCGTTTCATTTCGTGATGTTAAAGCAGCTGATGTTTCATTCAGCGTTGTTGCACTCGCCGTTGTTTCATTTAGCGGTATTAGAGTGTTTGTTGTTAAACTAGCTTGTGTTGCATCGGTTATTGTGTGGTTTAGCGTTATTCCAATGGTTGTAGTCTCATTTAGTGATGTTACATTGGTTCCTGTTTCATTTGGTGTTCTTCCAGTCGTGACCGTTTCATTTAGTTCAACTGCAACCGTTTCGGTTTCGTTCAGTATTGCAGGAGTAGTACTTGTTTCATTTAGTGATGTGAAAGTGATTACTGTTTCATTTCTTGCCATTGCAGTGACTGCTGTTTCGTTTAATGATGCTGCAGTTGTTGTTCTTTCATTTACTGGCGTTCCAGTGGTTCCCGTTTCGTTTAGTGCGATTCCAGCGTTTCCTGTTTCGCTCGATGATGTTGCAGTTCTTGTTGTTTCATTTACTAGTATTGCAGTCACCGTTGTTTCATTTAGTGATGTCTCGGTGATGCTTGTTTGATTTCCTGGCGTTGCAGTGGCTGTTGTTTCATTTACTACTATTCCAGTCGTGGTTGTTTCATTTAGTGGTGTTTCAGTTACTGTTGTTTCATTGACTGGTATTGCAGTTGTTGTTGTTTCGTTTATTGGTGTTCCAGTGGTTGCTGTTTCGTTTAGTAGGATTTCAGTGGTTGCGGTTTCGTTTAATGATATTGCAGTTGTTGTTGTTTCATTTGCTAGTATTGGTGTCGCGGTTGTTTCATTTAGTGATGGTTCGGTGATTGTTGTTTTATTTGCTGGCATTGCAGTGGGTGTTGTTTCGTTTATTGGTGTCCCAGTGATTACTGTTTCGTTTAGTGGGATTCTAGTGGTTGCTGTTTCGTTTAGTGATGTTCCACTCGTTGTTGTTTCATTTGCTGGCGTTGTAGTTGCTGTTGTTTTATTCAGTGATGGTTCGGTGACTGTTGTTTCATTTACTGGCGTTGCAGTGGCTGTTGTTTCATTTGCTGGAATTGTAGTGGGTGTTGTTTCGTGTATTGGTGTTCCAGTGGTTACTGTTTCATTTAGCGGGATTCCAGTGATTACGGTTTCGTTTAATGATGTTCCAGCTGCTGTTGTTTCATTTACCAGTATTGGTGTCGCGGTTGTCCCATTTAGTGATGCTTCGGTGATTATTGTTTCATTCAGTGGTGTTCCAGTTGCTGTTGTTTCATTTACTGGCGTTGCAGTGGCTGTTGTTTCATTTGCTGGAATTGTAGTGGGTGTTGTTTCGTTTATTGGTGTTCCAGTGGTTATTGTTTCGTTTAGTGGGATTCCAGTGATTACGGTTTCGTTTAATGATGTTCCAGTTGCTGTTGTTTCATTTACCAGTATTGGTGTCGCGGTTGTTTCATTTAGTGATGGTTCGGTGACTGTTGTTTCATTTAGTGGTGTTCCAGTTGCTGTTGTTTCATTTACTAGTATTGGTGTCGCTGTTGTTCCATTTAGTGATGNAGACGTCGGGCGTTTAAATAGACCAGATTGACATAATAAAAAGTTTACCCTGAAATACCCTACAGTTTTCAAAATAATACCCTAGCCCTACCGTACCCTACGAAGGTCGTACCCTAGTCCTACCCTAGCGTAGGGTAGGGTATAGGGTAGGGTAGGGCTGCAGAACTCTATTATTGATTAATCTAGAATAGTTGCAGCATTTTATTTTCTGTGTAACTTCTTATTTTTATTTTTGTGCGTGAAAACTAGGAACTACATATCGTGTGATGAAAAATCTGTGGTTGACGTTCTTTATAAACAAAACAGAAAACGAGAAAAATCCTAAAAATAATTTGACTCGACTCGAGCAATCGCCTGACTCGCCCATCCCTGTGAAAAACACAATAAAAGACTTTTATTTTTATGAAAAGCACATTTGTAGGTATTTTAGTCTTCAAACTCACGTATTCAAAAATAAAATTATGTTTCGAAAACGTAAAGTACACATTTGAACGCTTAAAAATGCGATATCCTATCGATTTTGTCTGATTAGGAAGACAAATAAAAATTAGAGTGCCAATAAAAAAAACAAAGAAAAGGATCACTTCTCTTCGAAATACAGAAATAAATAAGATAGATCATTTTACTGGCAATCGATAATCCTTCAAAAACAACTATAGTCTACTAGAGATTTTATGAAACACAGTCGAAAAGAAGTGTTGAAGGATACGAGTGAAAATTTCGACCACTCTCCCATCCACATAGTGTGCATTTTTTTTAACATGACTGACCGACATCTACCTTTTTTGCTTGGAAACGGATTTATTTGCTCAGAAATGATCGGATATGACGCAGAAAAGCATTTTAGGAAAATATTTTTTTTGGAAAGAGAAATTTTTCGACGAAAATTACCTGAGAAAGACTCTTACCTTCTTTTTTTCGAGAAAATTATTTTGTGTTATATATCATCCGATGCAGTTTAATGCACTGATTCAAAATATACTATTTTGTCAATTAAATCTTTTGTGTCGAAGCCAGAAAAATCTAGGCCTTTTTGAAAATCCACGGTACAGGTCAGAAATGTTGGCATTAACAGGAATTAGAGACAGTAGATAGTAGAACATTCTAACAAAATGTAGAGGTTGTATATGAAAGACTTGATTATTTTACAGGGCTAGTCTTTCGAACAACACCCTAGTAAAAAACAAATTTCACTTTTTAATAGAGCTCTGCTTGAAGATTCAGAAAATGTAATTGATTTGTCTGTCGAACATTTTAATTTTGTCAAATATCAAATTTTTGGATAACATCCTGATTTTCAGGCTAATTTTTAAGGCAATTATTTTTTTCTCTATCTTTGAGAATTGTTACAAAGTTATGTATACCATTAGATAGTCTTTTTTTTTCGAAGTATATGTTCCTATATTTAAATCTTAAAAAAAACATGGTTTTTATTTTTATACAATAATCCATCTAGATAGACTCTGTGCTCCGAGTCACAGACTACAAGAGCCATTGTTGATAGACGATTAAAAACTGTATATCAATAGCATCTCGTTATAATATACGAACTATTTCTTTATTGCATTCCTTGAGGCTTAAGTAAAGTGATGATGAAGAAATGTATTCCAAAATAGATAGAATAAAAACAATCTTTCTGTAATTAGCCATACTAGCCTATATCATATTTTGCATATTAATCCTACAGGCATTGTACTAACAGCTTTTTTGCTTGACGTATTTTGTGTTACTATAATGAAACTAAAGATGATATGTGAGTTCCAAAATTTAGTGCCAAAGGCGCAGTGTTGACAAGCTTTTTTTTCTATTTGTTGATTATTTATGTATGTTACAGCTCTCATATATCCTTAAATCATATCATCATTTGAGTCTATGCTCTGTTGCATCTGGTGATTTCAATAAAAATCATATATTAAATATAACTGCTGCTAATTTTCTTGCGGACAACATCATTTTTTTTTTGCTATAGGTTTATAAGAAATTCAAGTTATTCTAGTGTGAGTAAAGACACGACTCTTATCAACACTTTATGGTTAAAGTAATAATAGTATTGATACAAACATTTTCGTTCGAAATCTTGTCACTATTAACTTTGCTTCTTTTTCTATCTCAAAAGAAAAAAAGAAAAAATCTTAAATTTATGATGACATTTGTATGATTAACTGAATTCGATTATATACATATAACGATGTAGTTTGGTATTGTAAGATATCAAACCGATTCAATAGTGAATCAATTTTAATGTGACATACAAAACAAATATTGATATAAAACATCTTAAACGTGTAATAAAAACAAAAAAAAACAAGATGATTTTAAAATTACAATAAAATTTTCTCATAAACCACAAATAGCACAATTTATAATTACATTTAAATAGAAAATAAATTCATTCATTGCAAAATAAAGAACTCAACACAATAAAACAAGGTCATATAATCATATTTTATGTTTCATTTTGGTTTTATGAAGAAATATACTAAAGTATTCTGTAATAGAACTCATACTCTTATCTTTATCGGATATTTATGAATTGAATAAAGGTAAGTATGCGTATTCTGTCAGTTACATACTTCTTTTTATATTATCCAATCCTGTTTTTCTCTTACTGATAGTTTCTAAGACGATAATATAAAGGACTGCTGGTCAATAACAGGCAATATATTTTTTTCACTTTCTTTCATTCATAATCATAAAAAGACCAGATTCAATAAATAGCTTGTCTTAAAGGTTTTAGCAGCAAAAAAGAATTGATGACAACAATGTCTTCATCATACGAAAATCAATACAACGATAATGATGGAAATATCCGACGACGAGAATCACCATCACAAAAACGACAATCTGATACAACAGCTAATTTTGTACTTGGACAAGCACAAACAGGACCAGCTCGTGTCATTAATAGTCAACAAAGTCAACGATATACTAATGGTGATATTTTCAGTGATCAAACAACAGATGCTGAACATAATAAAGCTTTACTTGAAAAGTTATCACTTGATTTGGGTAATTTACTAAATCGAACGGATATTAGTGATTGTTTTCTCAATGTTAAAGGTACTAAAAACTTTTTATTATTTGAAAATATATTTATAAGAATTGTTTATTTGTAAGGTACTTTTATGGCCGTTCATAAATGTATTCTTGCTGCCCGTTCAAATGCTTTTGCTGGTAAAGAATTCGAAAAAAAAAACGTCATTCTTTTGTTTTTGGTCGTTTTATAAAATATAAGTTTTTTTTTTTTTTTTTTTATTATTAAAGCTGTTATTTCGGGTAATTTTAATCGACTTTCATTGGATGAAAGAAATCGAATTCAAACAATGACTCAGAGAGATAAATTAATTATTGTTATTGATAAAACGGATCCAGAAATAATGAAACATGTTGTTATTTTTATGTACACGGGAAAATGTGACTTAGATGAAGGCAATGGTAAGACTTCATTTTAGTTTTTTTTTATTCAAATCCTTTTTTTTTTCATTTTTATTTTAAGCTTATCCTCTACTCGATGCTGCTGGTCGATATGATATTAAAGATTTAAAAGCTCATACTGGTCGTTGTAAGTCAAAAATAATATTTTCATTAAAAACAATATATTTATATATTTACTTAGTTCTTTCAAGTCGTATTGATTCAAATAATGTCTTAATGTTACTCAAAGCAGCATATAAATATGATAATAAATTAATAAGACAACGTTGTATTGAATATTTTATTAATAATGCTAAAGAAATTATGGCTATACATGAACCATGGAAAAAATTTGCTGAAGAACAACAAGCAATTGTTGCTGAACTTCTTCATTGGCTTGTTAACAAAGATGAGTTCTATAAAGCAAAACCTCAATGGGACGCATCTTCACGTTGGTAATTGAACAAGAACATACAATCATTATTTTAACAAAATAAACGAAAAGAGAATAAAAACTACACAGGCAAAATATTTTTAAATATAGTATTTTAATTTTCTTTTTCTATATAAAATAAAAGTAGTAGCAAACCACCGGATATTTGTATTTTTAAATAGGTAAATGAACTTGACCATAAAAATCAATTTCATCATCAAATATACTATCTTGTTGTTCATCTCCATCGAGCTAAATTAAAACAAAAAAAAAAAAAAAAGAAAAGTTAATTAAAAATAAATTGAAAAACAAAAATATTTTACTTCATTAAGTTCTCGTTCAGTAAAAATAAATGGAAGACACCATTTACGAAATGGTACAAGTAAAACAAGAATAAATGGAAATAAAAAAGCAAAATTCGTCACTTTTATTGTTATTAATAAACCGGCAGCTGCTATTTGTATAAATGTATATGCATAACGTTTCATTTGACGAATCTAAATAAGAACAACAGAAAACATTCAGCATATATATCTTGCTGAAAAAAAAGAATTGAATACAAACTCGTCTTAAATATCCAACATTCGGATGATATTTTGTTGGAATAAACATCATTTTAAGTCGACTAAATAATTGTGTACCAGATATTGATACAATACCAAAATATAAAAAAATACCAAATAAAGCAGCAACAGGAATTTTACGTATAATGGGTGCTGCAAATATTGTACAACCAATAAGAATATGTACACCTATATTTGTTAAACGTTGATCTTTTATATCAATTAGACGAGGTTTTTCTCCTGGTGCATGTGTTTTACTATATTTTGATAAACTAGCTACATGAGCAATACTACGTACAGGTGCTGCACATATCCACGGAAGACCAAAAAGTCCACTGATAGATATTAAAACACCTATAAAGAAAAACATATATTTCATAATAATAAATAATAGAATATTTTCTCATACCTGCTATTAATATATCTAAATGATAACCGGTACCTTTAATAGGTTTAGTTGTATGAACACATTTAAGTTTTGATTGTATCATAATACTATAAAACGAAATGAAAAAAAATTTTTAAAATATATTTTCATTGTTTATTTATTTTCTTTTTCTTATTACCTAGTTAATTCAACTTCGAAAAAAAGAACAACAGAAATAAGAATAGCAGGAAATGAAGATGCAAAATAAACCCAAAATGGTAATTGTTTACGTAATGGTGATATAAGCCAAAAATTACCACGTTCACGATCACTTGGTCGAATTGAATCAGGTACAGTAATTTTCTATATAAATAAACAAACAAAAATATCTATTTCATACTTTTTGTTTTTTTTTTAATTACTTGAGTTAAACTATGACCACCAGCATTCTTAGTCATTCGCATATCGAACAGTACCATACATAAAAGAGCAATGGTCATACCAAAATCACTCAATGTCTGTCGTGTCTAAAGAAAATTATAATTAAATTATGTGATGAAATACGATCTAAACAAAAATTTAAAGAAATTCGAAGAAAAAAAAAAGAAATTTTGTTTTCTTCCAATCTAAACCCAATAGATATTCTTCTCCTATACGACTAGAGATGTGCGGAACCAAATTGTTTTGGTCTAGAGAAAATTATTCTAGTATGTATTCGTGTTGTAACTAAATAAACTCGTCAATATTTATTTTCTTTTTGATTTATCTACTTGACTACTAGAACATTTTTCTTATAGTCTTGATTTCTATCATCGAGACTAGAACTAAAATTGGCTACCACATCTCTATTCCCTACAGAGATCGTGGCAAACGTTGTTGATATACGATTAAAGACTGTATATCAATAATGTGTTGTTTTTTTTATCCTAATGAGGTCATATGTGTAACATGCAGAAAAACGAGCTTATCATCATCAACATTGATGAAAAAGTAATATACATTCATAATAAGAATGCAAAAAAGAATATTTGAATGTGTGTGTAATCAAATTGGAATAAGTTGATACATACAATCGACCTTGTTTTATAATTGGAATTCGAACAAGGAATTCTTTTGTTCATTGATTTTTCTTTTTTTTTTTACAATTTATATACCGGATATTTGTTTTGAAGTTGTTCCATTACAAGTGTGCAAATAATATAAATCTTACTTCATTTTCAATAGACTTTATTCATATACAACTAAGCATAGTTGAACAGTTTAATTGACAATTTTCAGTAAATAGTTCAAGTATTCAGAAATGATATTTAGACTATTTCCGGATTTGGTTTTTGTTTGAAGGAAGAGAAGGGGGGACAATTTCAAATGTTTAGCAAATTAAAAATCTAGACAAGCAAATAATTGGAATATATATATATATATAGCTTTTTTTTGATTATTTTATAATTAATTGCACATGAAAAATCAATATTTAAATAATAACTTACTGATCGACCGAAAAAATTACTTCGTCTAAAACGTTTAAGTGCAAGAGCTATAAAACACGTTCCAAGAAGAATAATTAATGAAAGTAATGCTTTATTTGGTAATTGAGTTTCATCATTTGATATTGTTGTATAATTAATTCGTAATAATGAAGGAGTAGAAGATATATAACGTTTTGGAGATTCACAATCATAACATGAATATTTTGATGAAGAATTAAATGATGAATTTATATTTTTAATAGTTGATGATTTATTGAATATAGAAGATATATTACAAGAACAAATTAATGGATAATTATATTTCGATAGGACAGGATTTAAATGAAATATCTATTGAAAAAATTATGATAAAAAAAAAGAAAAATATTCAATATATTTTACCATATAAAGTTTTTTAAATGGTTCATAGAGATAAACAACAGCAATAATAAGTGCAAAAATTTCTTCAGTAAATCGAGTTACATAACGAATCATAAAACTACCTTCAAATGCTACGAGAATAATTATAAAAAATGTTGTCCATAGACTAACACATAATCGAACTGTCCAAAAATCTGATTGCAACAATTGACATAACTAAATAAGAACAATATAAAATATAAATTTTAATGAAACAAAAAAAAAAGAAAGGAAAACATTTCAAAAATATATTTTCATATCCCATTGGACGGATTATATTAAGAAGTACTAGAGTATCTTTATTTTCTCTAATAGAATATCCGAAAGATTTAAAGAACAAAATCATGAATATTTGTTTGTATTTCAAAATAACAATAATAAAAGCAAAACTTGTTGTGCATAAAACATAAAAGAAAATTTTATAATTCGATAAGATTCTCTTCATTTTCTTTTTATAGAATATCCGAACTATTAAAACACTATATCGTAGGGAAGTATACTTCAGATTAAGTGATTGTAAACAATAGAAATGGAAACGATTGTTGAAAAAATTTATGATAATTGATAATAATAGACATATTCAAACGAAAATATTCTTCGCATATAAGTGAATAACAAGTCATGATGATTGCAATTCATTTTAATATAAACTATTAGTAGTCTTGTATGAATTTTCTGTTAAAGATAAACTCATAGAAATTCTTGAATAACTGACTATTGTGATTTTGCCCTTTCTATATAATATTTATCTTGTTTTCAATTTATTATTTACTATAATATTTAGATATTCGACTAGACATGTTTACTATAAAATCTTATTTGCAAAAATTTATTCATTTACACGATCAAATATAGAATTAATTAAATATCTACTACTTCACTATACTCATTCGTCTTTTCAATAGGATGCAAAAGAACAACAGTATATGATACCATGAAACTTTAATAAAATTTCTATTTCTAGAAAATCTACTCTGCAAAGAAATAGTGAACATGGATATATAATATGCAAGTATTACCTGTCTAAAAGATTTATGAGAGTGTAAGCTGAAGGCGGAATATCAAATGTATAATCACATTATGATATTTGCATCAAACAGCAGAAATCAATTAATGAACGATTGATAATTTCAAATGACTAATTGATCTGTACACTCTTAAACATGCTACACTGAAACTATAGCATAAATCTCAGAGAACAAATGATGAAGCTATTGGATGGATATACATACTCATACAAAAGAAAGCGCGTATCTTTGTTTTTTACGAAGACGAAAACTTTATTAAAGAGATGATCATTCAAAACAAAATTATTGCTATTCTACGTAATATAGCGATTTTTTTTAACTCAATAGATCATTCAATCTATTATATCGTTTGACAAATTTTCAGTTCAATACATTAAATATATCAATAAAAACCTTCATACAAATAAATTTTTTTTTCATAACGTGATATCTTTCCTACAACTAATTATGCTGTATTTATGGATAGAAGGCTAGTTTGATATAGAATTCTTCCGTTCATTAGCTTGAACTTTTCATATACACCAACTAATCTACAAGTGCAAGTTAATGTCACGATATAGTCAGCATGTTATCGGATGGATGATCTGAAACAAATCTCGATTAAGGATTTGTTCAAGATCATTTTCATGGTTGATGGTACTAAGATTTAAACATAGTATTTTGTGAATTACATGTTGAATAACATAGTCTCTTACGAGAGAACATTTTCAACTGATCAGTCGGATTTCAAATTCGAACTTTGAGCGTAAAGCAGACTCTGGTAAGATATGAAAAAATATATATCATATCAATACAATGTCTTGATAATTTCAACTCAAAAGAAAAAAGCTTCACTCGCGAGATAATGAAGTATCAAAAAAAAAACGAAAAATACTAGCATCTTTCATTCAATATGAGTAATTTTTGGAAACTTTAATATCTCAAGAAACAAACATTCTACTGACGAATAAATCTGTCCGTCGGCAAAAAATCTCACATAGAAATACTGTTGTTCCATTTGGTGGTATATACACCATACCAGATGCTAAAATTCTATTAGAATTCTATCTTATGCACAGGATCCAAATTATAGCCTTTTAATATTGATAATATTTCAATATGTATACTTACATCATATACCATTTCTTCAAAGACAAGAAAAGGTCCCGTTGGTCCAAGAATAAGTAATGGTTGTCCACTGAG